ACACACACACACACACACACACACACACACACACTTACTCATACACACACCTGTTCATAAATACATACATATACACAAACACTAACACACAGACACACACTCTTAGACATTCACGTAAACGCACGCACAAACTCAAAATTATGCATACCCCAACATACAACTACCCACACACATACCCACACCCAGACTCACTCAAACACACAGACAAACTCCTGCACACTATCACAGAGACGTACACTTGTACACAGACACACTCAGACACAATTACACACACACACACTGAAATACAGACATACACACATACAAATACACACAACTACACACGCATAACTGCAGAGAAACACAAAACTCTTTCAAACACACACACACACACACACAGTAGTGATGATGACAGCTGAATGATGGCAGTGTGTTTTATTTATGAAGAACGACTCTGTTATCTGCCATGAGCTGTCAGATCGTGTGTGTATCAGGCCTCATCGTTATTTATTGTAGACACTTTGCACTTTGTGGAAATCCAGTGACATCATCAGAGCCATAGACATGTGTATGCAGATGCCACGTTCAGCAGAGACGTTCAGTCGTCCGCCATCTTGGAACAGTCAAAATGACGCACATTTGCAGCCTCAGTTTGTAAAACAAACCACTGAGATTTAAAGGCGAAACCTTCACAGTTGTGTTTTTATTTGTATTAACTCAATATTTCCATTACTGAGCGCTCAATATCACTCAATATATTCAATATTTTAAACTATGCTAACTTCTAAGTGTCTTGTCAGCTAATGCCTTTGTGTTCCTGTATTGCTAATGCTAATTAGCAAATTCATCTCTTGGATTCTGTCGCAGATAGATATTTATAAATCTGTTCTTGGAGACGGTTAACTTGCTCTCTAATGTTCATGGGTCAACCTTTATCATTTGAGTTTTGCAGATGGGTCAATAAAGCAGCCTGCAGAAGCTAATGAGGGATCTATGTTTATACATCTATGATCAAAACTAAGAATCCTGCCAATCTAAGAAACGCAGCAACAAATGCTTCTCCCGCTCAGTTCTTCTTTCTGGTCCAGATATCAAAGATTCTTCAATCAAACAGCTCTTTCTAGACCACTGAAATTTGTTTTCAGAAATGAGTCAAAATGAAGCGAGTTTTTCCATAAAACAAGCAAAATAATCTGACAAATGAGGTAAGAAAAGTCATTTTTTTGCTTTGATTTAAGATTGTTTTAAGGAAAACACTTTATTTCCACTTGTTACTTCAGAAAACAAAACAATTTTTACTTGTCCACACCATAAAGAAATAAAAGTTATTGAAATGAAAGGTCCTGTATTTTGGGATTTACCTTTTTTTCCTTGTTTATTTACAGTTATGAATTGAATAATGGGACTTTAATCGATATATAGAATAGGTTTATGTACCATCATACCATATGTATCATAATAGGGATGTTTCTGTATTATAATTTACACAATATAATTTTTATATATATATATATATATATATATATATATATATATATATATATATATATACATACACACACACACACACAAACACACACAGTTGAAGCCGGAAATATTAAACCCCCTTTGATTTTTTTTTCCTTTTTTTTTATATTTTCCAAATGATGCTTAACAGAGAAAGGAAATTTCCACAGTGCATCTGATAATATTTTTTCTTCTGGAGAAAGTTTTATTTGTTTTATTTTGGCTAGAATAAAAGCAGTTTTTAATTTTTTTAAATCCATTTTAAGGTCAATAATATTAGCCCCTTTAAGCAATATTTTTCTGTATAGTCTACCATCATTATACAATAACTTGCCTAATTACCCTAACCTGCCTAGTTAACCTAATTAACCTAGTTAAGCCTTTAAATGTCACTTTAAGCTGTATAGAAGTGTCTTGGAAAAAAATTTTTTCCCCAATTCCTCATTTTATTTTAACATGTACATGCAAACAAAACAAAAGGCTTCACAATATTTTACATCAGACTACAATATCAACTCTGTTACTAATCTTCTAGTAAAACAGTTCCAAAACCACCACCTTTTAAAAACAGCTTAAAAAGTCCCCGAACTCTATCAAAAGTTATGTATTTATTTCTTATCATACAAGTTATTTTTTCCAGTGACATGTTTGTTACCATCTCTTTCAGCCAACAACCTATATTTGGTGCAAATATACTTTTCCAACTTACAGAAATAAGTTGTTTCGCATGCAGAATACATATATTCATAAATATATGTTCCATCTTTTTTAACTTGGTCTCCTTTGGGACAAATTAAATAAAAGTAGACATTGGTATATTAGCCTCAAGAATATTTTCTATAATTACTTTCACACCTTTCCAAAAGTTCTTTATATTCCTGTATACAGTGATACAACGTTCCTTTATGGTGCCTGCATCTCAAGCAAGTATCTGGATTATTTTGATTATATTTATGCAATAAAACTGGAGTTATGTAAATCCTCATCAACCATTTATATTGTAACAGTTCCAGACGAGTGTTTATTGTTAGTGATTGAGCTTCCTCGCATGTCTTCATCCAGTCTTCTGTAGAAATATCCTCCTTAAGATCTAATCTCCAAGCTATTAATTTACAATTTGAAGATTCCTTTGATCCTGAGACCATAGTCTTGGATAATGCAGAAATTAAACCTTCACTAAAACAGTCTTTGCTTATTACTTTTTGAAAAATGGACAATGAGTCAAATATTCTGTGCTGTCATTATGACAAAGATAAAATAAATCAGTGATTAGAGATGAATTAATAAAACTATTATGTTTAGGAATGTGTTGAAGAAATCTCTCCGTTAAACAGAAATTGGGGAAAAAATAAACAGGGGGTGAATAATTCTGATTGCAACTGTATATATCTTATTTTTATATATCTGGACCGGAAACAAGACAAGAGCTTCAAGTAAGAAAAGCACTTTTTACAGTACATATTGTAAAGTGAAGAAAACAAAATGTTAATCTTTTTCTGGAGTCCAACTGAGCACACTTTTAGTTTTAAAATCGTGCATGAAGTGCATTGTCGGATGCTTGAAAATGTCAAAATAAACCGTGCTGGACACTTTTTGACTGCTTTTTTTTATGATGCCTCCAGGAGAAGTGCTTCCAGAAATTTGAGCTGGAGACCTGAATGTTTTTTAAAGTCATGTGAAACTACTTTGCTTAAATTCTGTGCAAACTTTTACTGATTATTTAGGAGCTCAAAGTTTAATGATCTAGGCTCAAAGTCTAAAGCTCATGGCGCAAAAGCATTAAGGGCGTGTCTGAATCCACTTTTGCTATTTTAAGGATGGAAAAATACGCTCTGCGCCTGGTCTAACAGGCTTATGCTTATTCTCTTAATGCAGGGGTGTCAAACTCAATTCCTGGAGGGCCGAAGCCCTGCACAGTTTAGTTCCAACCCTGCTCCAACACACTTACCTGTAGGTGTCAAACAGGCCTGAAGGACTCAATTAGTTTGATCAGGTGTGTTTAATTAGGGTTGGAACTAAACTGTGCAGAGCTGCGGCCCTTTTGGAACTGAGTTTGACACCTGTGTCTTAATGAGTTCTGGGTGTGGTTTGAGCATAACATGCATTAAACCAATCAGTCTTGTCCCACAATCCTTTTAAGAGTAAGGTGTGATACGTGATGGTGCATTTGCTATTTACATGGCGGACTTTGTAGAAAAATTAAAGGCTTCACTAGTGAAAAAACAGTTAAACAGAACATCTGCAGCGCAAGGAGAAAGAACGAGCCTCCTCCATTCAGCCTCTTTACTTTATTTTTACTCTTTACTCCTTTACTTTGGTGGAGTGAGGAAACGGTGGAAACTCACTCCACTGAAGACATCCATTAGCCTACATATTTAATTTTGTTTGTTAAGCGCAAAGATTTGTCTCAAAACTATTTCTGAATTCAGTTCTAATCTCCAGCAAAGGAATAAATGAACAATAACAACAAAGTGTGGTCAAACAACACGTTATATCCAAACACACGTCCTGTTCTAATGCCCCATATAGTGATGCAGACATCTCCGAAACCCCCCAAATCTAAACTTGATTTTTATTAAAACAAATATAAATATAAAATATAAGTCATGCCTAATGCTGTAGTTTTGTTTTGATTTTTGGGTGTCAATTCTAATGTAGTTTTTAAAGCAGATCATGTTTGATACGCTCATGTTTGTTCCTCTGAGAGACAATCGGTTGACTGACACTGACATGAGCTCCTCCTAAAGGGACAGTTCACCCAAAATTTCCTCGTCTAGCAAGTCTTTGTGATTACCAAGAGCGGCGGTGTCCAGAGTAATGTCAGCAAACCACGAAAAAGAAGAACCACATCCAAAAGAAGTAACTGAGGACGCAAGAGGAAGCTGTCTGAAAGGGATGTCCGGGTGCTACCCTGCACTGTATCCAAAAGAACGTTAAACCACAGTTGATCAACCCACTGCACAATCAAATGTGCAGCTCAACTCCTGTTTTCAGCAAAAATGTTGGTCAGGAGCTCCACAGGGTCAATAACCATAGCCCAGGGGTCTCAATGTCAGTGGGCCCCCTACACATTTTTTTTTTAATTATTTGAATATAAACATGCACAAATAGTGTTTTAATCTATAATCAAATCAGATTATAATAATGACTGGTTCTTTCATTCACCACCAAATTGATGCATTTGGCCTACTTGTGCTCAATCTAATACAATGACATTTCAACCTTTATACCAATAAAAGGGATAAATCAAGTATATAATTTCTTATATTAGTATTACTTAATTGTTTAGATTTTTAAAAGGCACATTAACTTCTTTCACATTTACACATGGATCGATAATTGCAATAATTTGACCATAAACAGCTGAAAAAATTTATTGGAAATAAAAATTCATTCTCCGTCACAAGGGGGCGCTTGAGGAGCGCTGAAGTATTACGGTTTCCCTAGTAATGACTGTACACAAATCAGCATTATATGTTATGTGTTATCAATATATTTTGAAATAAATAATGACATTGACATCAATTGGAGGGGCCAAATAATTCGAAGTAGGCTACAAAAAAAAAAAAAAAATTGGTGGGATTTCAAAGGGCCCTCTCCCTAGATGGGGCCCTGGGTAGTCAGGTCCACTTTTCCCCCCACTACCACACCCATGCCAGGGGTGTCCAAACTCGGTCTTGGAGGGCCGGTGTTCTGCATATTTAGTTCCAACCCCAATTAAACACACCTGGACCAGCTAATCTAACTATATAGAAATTTCCAGGGAAGTGTATTGAAGGTAGTTGGAGCTAAACTATGCAGGACACCGGCCCTCCAGGACTGAGTTTGGACACCCCTGCCATAGCCAAATCTTTGCTCACTAGAGCCAATGCCAAACACCGGTTTCAATAGTGCCAGCAGCCCAAATCTGGGCTGTGGACAATGTAAAACATGTACTGTTCTGTGATGAGTCCACCTTGTCTTTCCCACATCCAGGAGAGTTACTGTGTGGAGAAGCCCCAAAGATAGCAGTGGTTAGCACTGTCACCTCTTACAGCAAAAAGGTTGCTAGTTCCAGTCCCGGCTGGGTCAGTTGACATTTCTGTATGGAGTTTGCATGTTCTCCTTGTGATCGGGTTTCCTCTGGGTTTAGAGTCCAAACACATGCACTATAGGGGAATTGAATAAGCTAAATTGGCTGTAGTGTGTAAGTTAGAATTAGTGTTTATGAATGTTTCCAATACTGGGTTGTAGCTTGAAGGGCATCGTCTGCGTAAATATATGCTTGAATAGTTGGCAGTTCATACTGCTGTGGCGACCCATGATAAACAAAGAAAGCCAAAGGAAATTCAATGAATTTAAAGTGTCAACAAAAAGTTCTTTGCACTGTAGAAATCAGCATGTATGGGAGAATAATTAAGATTTCATCATATTTTGCTTAAAAAAAGAACATAAGCAGCGTGTAACTTTGGTTTGAGAAGTGGAAGGACACAAAATGGAGGAAAATATATTTGATTTAGATCATCTATCCTGCATTTACATTAGTTTAGGGACGGTGGTGATACAAAATCCGGGAAAAAAAACTATCTTGTGTACATGACAGTCGAGCGGACGCGAGCGCGCGGTCTTGTGAACGACGGCACGCGCACACGCTGAACGCACGCGCACAGCAACTCGAGAGCGCGCCGTTAGCGTCTGTTAGCATAAGCCTGTTTACTGCAGTAAAACCTCTCCCGATGGACTGACAACGGTGAGGTTTTATCATCTCATTACCTTACAGAAACATTAGTGAGAGATTAAGGTGTAAACGCGTTCAGTGCATGAAGAAACGCGATTTATATTAGTGTGCTAATGGCCAATGAGGCTCTGTTTGTGTGGCTAATGCATTAGCCCAAGTGTAGTCCACTCATAATTATTAATTACTCATTTGTTAATCAGGATATTATTTTTTATTAATGCATGTGCGATTAACTAGCGGTATAGTCGTCGTAATGTTACGTTGCTTGTCGTAAGCTGCACTGACGTGGTTTGTCTTTGTTTTGCTCATGCTAATGCTAATGCTAGAGAAATAAACCCATTTGAACCTCATCATCAGTTATTATAACGTTACATCTCGTTGGCAACATGATAATATTTTTAGGTGTTAACCAGTTTAATCGGTTGTAGTGTGCTCAGTTTGCAGTGAATCTCTCAATTCGTGTATGTCAATAGAATATTTGACATCTCATTATAATTATTGCAAGAGTTTATTGCCATTTACTGACGTTATTTTTAGGTTTTCTCTGTGTCGTGTTGACACCTATAGATGTAAAGTTGGTTTATATTCGCACATTCTGCTTAATAATATAATTTCAGAAAAGTATTATTTGCTAAATCTACATAGGGAAATCATATTAGCAGTCAATACTATTAAAATACAACATTGTTAATTGTCAAATACATAGTGCTAATGTTGTGTTAAAGTCATCCTTGCATGCTAATTCATACTCAATATTCAACTTAGCGTGGTAGTTAAACAACCCTGCTAAAGAATCCAGCTTAAACCAGCCTGGTTTTAGAGGGGTTTTGGTTCGAACCTCAGCTCAGTTGGCGTTTCTGTGTGGAGTTTGCATGTTCTCCCTGCCTTCGCGTGGGTTTCCTCCGGGTGCTCCGGTTTCCCCCACAGTCCAGAGACATGCGGAACAGATGAATTTGGTAGGCTAAATTGTCCGTAGTGTATGAATGTGTGTGTGGATGTTTGCCAGAGATGGGTTGTGGCTGGGTAAAAAAACTTGCTGGATAAGTTGGCGGTTCATTCCGCTGTGGCGACCCCGGATTAATAAAGGGACTAAGCCGACAAGAAAATGAATGAATAAATGAATATAATAATGATGCAGCCCATTGCGGTTAGTGCAATATCTTCTGCTCAGAGAAAAAGAAATACATTAAAACATGAGATGCAATAAAAAAAAGAAACATTTTGAACAGTTGAGGTATTGTTTTCATAATAAATTGTAAGTTGAAACTTAATTCTGCGATTTAAACACTGCATTTTTAGCTCCTCAATCCTCAGTGTCTCGTAGTCCTTCAGAAAGCGGAATATTCTGACACATTTTTGATTATTGTCTGTAGGGCTGTGCGATTAATCGAATGGCAACTTGAAACGGTTATATTTTCCCTGTATCGTGCAGCTCTACAGGTCTAACTGCACGGCTCTGATTGGTGATAACGGCTGTTGTTTGTCTGTGATCAGTGTCAGAGTCTCCAGAGGCTGTATCGGTGAAGGCGATGGCGCATCAGCAGCTCCTCCTGGGCTCTCCGTCTCCTCCAGACGCACCTCTCTCCGATCACGACTCTGGGCTGGAGGATGAAGATGAAAACACCACCACAGACTCCACCATCTATGTGGCTTTCAAAGGGAACCTGCATGACGAGGACTTTCAGGAGAAGCTGGACGCCATCTTAAACAGGATGCCAGATATGCTGCTGCTAGGTCAGAGCACTCTGTGATTACACTCAGAATAAAGGATAATGTTGTTTGGCTTTCAGAAATAATAAGTCCAAATGAAGCAAGTTTTTCCCTTAAAGCAAGCTAAAATATCTGCCAATGGGGTTAGAAAAATAATCTTGATTTCATGTTTGGACACCTCTGCTTCATTAGATGTAGATGCTTATTTTAAAAATGTTTTGGTCAGTATTGTGTTCACGTAGGCTCTGAAATGGTCATACAATTCATAAATTAATTCAATATATATAATTATATAATTAAATATTTGTTAATTATCATATATTAGTTAAATATTTTTTCTAGGTCATAATTTCATTTTAATTTTAGTCCATATAAGGCTTTCTCTAATACTTATATATTATTATTAATTTTTAATGCACCAATAGCATTGTAGTATTACATATATATATATATATATATCAGAGCTCGAAAAAAACCTTTTTGCCTTGTAGCACCGGTGCTCCTAACTTTAAAAATGTAGGCGCATCAGCCAAAATTTAGACGCACCCACCAATTATAAGCACTGTTACTAAAAGTGTTATACAAACATATTTATTGCATTTGAAATCAGCACTAATCAAACTAACAAGCAAAAAAAAGAAAAAAATGTCTCAAAGAAATCCCGTTATCACAAGAAAATACATTTTATAGCATAACTGACTAAGCAAAAGACACGAAGCGCTCACCGGCCCTGCACAAACTGCGTGACATGAATCTGTTAACAGTATAACTGTGCTGTTCTCACGGGTGCTGTCTGATATTGCACTGATGCTTTTGACACATACTGTACCTTATTATATGCATACGTCATGTTAATAGCAATACCGTGTTTTTTTTTATGAGTAGCGTTATTAGTTTACTCAGTGTAAGTCCGTTTGCGATGGTGTACGTGGTGTTAAATTTGACATATAGCTGCCACTTGCACAGCGGACAGCATCTGGCGATTATATGAAGGATTAAACATAAGCTCTTGTGCTAGATGTGGCAAGCAGTTACCTGAAAACTCCATCCCAGAGACTTTTCATAGCGGACTTGAAGCCAAAGTCTTTTATCCACTCTTGGAAAAGTGTAGATGGTGAATTAATATTCAGCACATGATCACTACTAAGATGTGTCATTATTTATAACTTTAGATGTCATGGTTTCTAAAACAAAAACTGTCCACGTTATCTTCATTCTCCTCTTCAGCGCTTTACAGTTTTTCGCGGTTGTAGCTCTCTCTGTCATCCCAAGCCAGAAGGCATTGACTGAGTGATTGACAGCTGATATTAACCAATCATTCGCGTTCAGTGCTAGAGCAGTGGTGGGCCAATAAGAAGAGCGCAAAGGCGGGGCAAGCATTACGGACTTGGCTTTGTTTACTGCAGCAAGTTGACATGACAACTGTTTTAAACCATTCCAGAGCGCTGCGTTTCGCATTTCAAGTGCAGACAAAGAGCTTAGAGATGCATACCATGTGAATGTCTCCCGAATCTGCGCATGTGCTGAACATTTTGCAGTAAAGACTGGTCGCACACAACAATTTTAAGCACTCGCAGAAATGCTCCCAAATTTTGAGGTCACATAGATAAAATTTCGGGCACATATGCGACCACAGTGGTCGCAATTTCGAGCCCTGTATATATATATATTAGCAATATCACACGAGTAGCAGTGCAATATGGCTGTATATCAGCACTGGTGGGAGGCGACCGAGTGCTTTAGCGTCCCACCAGTGCCGTTTTTGTTTTGTAAAGTTGCTAAGCTAAATTCTTACTGGCTGATATTGCTGATTTGCTGCTGAAGGTAAGAAGAAGCTGGAGCCGGAGCGCGTGGAGCCGTGGAACAGTGTCCGTGTCACATTCAACATCCCCAGAGAGGCGGCAGAGCGACTACGGCTCCTGGCCCAAAACAACCAGCAGCAGCTGCGGGATCTGGGCATCCTGTCCGTGCAGATCGAGGGTACGTGTCTTTGTGTGCGTCTGTGTATGTGTGTAAGGGCCCGTCCCATTAATCAGTAACCACTGGTGCATACAGGTCTTGATTTGAACTGTTGCTTAAAGGTTCGAGACACCCTGGAGTATATTTTTTTATTCAGATTTTAACAGATGTGTGTGTTGAGCATCAGTTAAGACGGGTGTATAAACTCGGTCCTGGAGGGCCGGTGTCCTGCAGATTTTAGCTCCAACTTGCTTCAACACACCTGCAAGGATGTTTCTAGACTGCCTAGTAAGAGCTTGATTAGCTAGGGTGTTACCAGGGGTGTTTCTAATTGGGGTTGGAACTACACGTTGCAGGACACCGGCCCTCCAGGACCGAGTCTGGACATCCCTGAGTTAAGACAATGTTAGCACCAGTCAGCTTTAATTGTGGGGAAAACTGGATAATTTAGATTTAATTTTTGTCGGCTAATTTCATCTTCTGGGTTTAAAATCATCATTGGGGCGACATCGGTGACGTAGCGCACATCCACTAGTGGAGTGATGACACGTCGGTTTCTTGTTATTATTCATAGCTGATAAAGAGCCTGCTTCTTTTAATTATTCATGAGAGCATGTGCTTTTTGATGACAGACTATTATGGACAGACCTGCCACATTGTGTGATAGCATGCAGTATTTAGGTAGTTGTGAAAGGTTGCATGTGTTTCTGTCCATGATCTACCGGCTTTGTTGCATGTTTTTCCCCACAATGCCGTCAGGCCCACAGAAACACCCAACCTGTTTGTGTGCAGCAAGCATTTTTGTCGAGAAAGCTGTACGAGAATTGGAGAATGGCGGACTTTGTCTTTTATCAGTTGAGTTCCTTACCATTCAGACACATCGCCTATATCTGTGCTGCTGTGTTCACCCATGCTTAAAATTCTCCAGATTACCGGCAGGGCTGAGGGTCGAAATAGACAGGGAAAGAGACCTGCTGTACTGATAATATCCACTGTGTTTGCATTCGGACCTGAGATTCAGGAGGAGAGAAGTCCTCCTCATTTATAGTGTTTATATAAACATTACTATCTTTATGATGATATCAAATTGTGGTCATAGTTATGAATAATGAAATTACGAATAACATACATAGCAGACCATTAAATTACGGTTTATTTCTTTGCATTTAACTTTGTAAACTATAAAATCATGGGTGTCCTTTTGTTTTGTGTCGGGGTTTTTTTTGTCTTGACTTGATGAGGCAACTGACATCTCTTTTTCCCTGCTCCACCACCACGCCCACTCCTCGTGTAGCGTTTTTTAAATTTTTTTATTCTGAGGTAGACTTGAACTAAACTACGGAGATATATATATATATACACACACACACACACACACACACACACAGGGTGGGCCATTTATATGGATACACATTAATAAAAGGGAAGGTTTGGTGATATTACCGTCCTGTTTGGGGCACATTAGTATATGTGAGGGGGGAAACTTTTCAAGATGGGTGGTGACCATGATGGCCATTTTGAAGTCGGCCATCTTGGATCCAACTTTTGTTCCTTCAGTAGGAAGAGGGTCATGTGACATATTAAACTTATTAAGAATTCCACAAGAAAAGCAATGGTGTGCTTTGTTTAAATGTAACTTTATTCTTTTATGAGTTATTTACAATTTTCTGACCACTTATAAAATGTGTTCAATGTGCTGCCCATTGTGTTGGATTGTCAATGCAACCCTCTTCTCCCTCTCTTCACACACACATAGAAACACTGCAGGAGAAATGCCAACACAGGCTTCCAGTATCCGTAGTTTAAGGTGGTGATTTCTGCTTAAATTAGAGAATAAGGGTGCTTTTACACCTGCCTTATTTAGTTCCATTGAGTCGCACTAGAGTTCGTTTCCCCTTTTGCTATGGTTGGTTTTGGCAGGTGAGAATGCAGCAATCGTACTCGAGTGCGCACCAAAGGCGGACCAAATAAGCGTACCGAGACCTGCTTGAAGAGGTGGTCTCGGTACGCTTTCAAACAAACCCTGGAGCGGTTTGTTTGTGGTGAGAATATGATCCGTACTAAAACAGGTCCAACCGCAAAAAGTACTGCACGTTTTGGACTAATTCAGCTGCCGTAGTCCGATGCGCTGTGCATTATGGGATATGGAGGAAAAATATTTGTTGACAGCGCATTACCAACTGAGAGAGGGGAAAACATTACCTGATGGATCGTTGGTAATATTTCCGCAAGATGAGCATGTCGCAGTTTAGCTAAATTAATTCACGTCTCCTCCTGAAGTGACGAGCGATGCATTAAACACTGTTTTCCAGCCGCGGCCGCGCTTCATTTTCATAATGTATAGTTTGTCTAAAGCAGGGAGACGATCAGCCAGCGCAGTCGTCCCTCCAGAGTAAAAGGTTTTGTTTACCTGCGGGAGTTCACTGGCATTTACCCGCATGTGAATTCTGACCAATCAATAAGCAGTTTAGGAAATATGTTCAACAACATCTGACCAATGAGAGATCTGGATTTTGTCAGATGACTGCATTTTGGTTCGTTTCAACTGGTTCGGACCAAAGCCAGCAGTGTGGTGTGAAAACGACCCAAAGACGGCAGAAAATGCAACAATGTATGATTTATTACCCTTGTTCTGGACCAAATGAAGCCAACTACAGATGTGAAAGCACCCTAAGAGTCTTTCAAACGCATCTCTTTCTCAGTGTAAACATGCCATGGACAGTAAAAAAAATAAAACAGACTAACAAATGTGTAAGAATTAATTTGTGATGCACATATTGTGATCGGTTCTTGAGATCTACCAGGTTAGTGAGTACAGATTGAGGATTGTAATGTGACTATGGATGCCGATCTATCCCTATTAACTTGTTAATGTTTGACTGGTTTGTATAGGTGAAGGAGCTATTAATGTTGCGGTTGGACAAGGCCAGAGTCAAGAAGTCAGGGTAAATGGACCGCTCGGTGCGCCTCCTCAGATGAGAATGGATGCTGGTTTCCCCATGCAGCAGGGTCAAGGTAATAACACACTGCTGCTGTATTTACCAGAGTTCTGCTCTGCTCTTTCAGAGTTGACCTTTAAATGCCCCAATGTACTTCAGAAGAAATCAAGTGAACTCTCCGCAGAGGTTTTGCTTTAAACACACGTTTGAGTTATTATTGGTTTGTGGTGATGATGCCATATGTGGGTGTGGCTCTGAGGCTTCACCTTCTTTGACATGGCCATCTTGTCTGGTTCATTTCTTCTGTCCAGTCAGACATGAGTAAAACATAAACACAGACGAGCTGCTTCATAGTAGTATAGAATTGTAGGACTGTCAAAAATGTTGAATATTTGAATATTGAATTTAATAAAACATTGGAAAAGCAAAAACCTGCAATCAGTTTTAATTGATAGCTAATTTCCCATTTAGGAAAATATATCTTATTTATAAAATAATTGTTTGAAGGGTCATGCATTTTAAAAAGTGATTGTCATTTTAAATTTAATAAAGTATGCAATGCTTGATTTGGGTTTTAATTGCTTATTGTGCTCACCTGCACACTCTAGTGGGCACAGCAGACGATACATTAGAGTTATAATTTTGCTTGTGTAACTCCCTTATAAAGAATGGAAATAAATTAACTTATCAGTGTATTTGGGCTTTTACCCAATAAACACACCTGAACAATCCAGTTAGTTGCTTTAGAATGACTTGAAAATGTAATTAGTCAGAATGTTTTGTGAAGAAATGCTTGTTGTTGTTTTTTTTCAGTTGGAATGCGAATGAATAACCCTGCGGTGTCCATGATGCCTCCTGGGGCTAGTATGCCAGGACAGGGTATGGTACCGAATAGTGCTGGACAGATGCAGCCAAGAGCACCAAGACCACCTTCCCAGACAGGCAATGGTAGAAACATTCAAATGTATTGGCCGTTTGTTGGTTTAAATAAATTACCCTTGTTTATGCCTTATACTTCCATACAAAGACTAAATGCAGCAGTTTCTGTATAAATGGAACTCGTAGTCAGTGTTAATTTCAATTGGTACCAGGCTGCACAAGAACTCATTAATTATTTCTGTTTAATTTATTATGAGTCTGAACGATCTTTTGTTTAGAAAAATCTTTTATTTTGAAAAATTACCATATTTTCTTAGCTGTAGGCTGGTTGCTTGAACACCAAAATGTAAGCCACAAGCTAGCAAAATGAGTAAGCAACAGACGACTTTGGAAAGTTTCTTTGTGAAGGGGAAGGGCGGGTGAAAGTCCCACAAATTGTCAAGGAATGGATCCGCAACACTTTTGTCAGCAAATCATTTGAATCCAGCATGTCTGTGCAGGAAGAACTGCTGGAGATCGCAAATGGTGGCAGCCTTAGGGGCCATTCACATATCACGTGCACAAGTTTGTTATCCTAATAGAGACGCTCGCACTTTCCAGGCACACCCAGATGAAAATGGCTCAACTCTTCGTGACAAGAACTGACCGATCAGCTTAATAATTTGTATGGAATATTCACATTTCGGTGGAGACTATTGACATCAGACAAAAACTGAACACCCAAACACTGCAGTGCTTTTTAATTTTCTCCATGAATCAAACTTGTATGAGAGTTTCAGCAATGTTTTGTCATCGTCTGAGAAAACAATCCCCACACAGAAATGTGAAGAAACTGCTCTAAAGTTAGATTTTTGTTTCTTATTTCATTTATTTTTAAATTAAAAATGTTCTTTTTGGTTAATTTGAGTTTTTCCCCTTCTTTTTATACTTTTCCATAACTGTCAAAGTTCAAACCCATTGATTTATAGCAACATTTATTTGTGAGTAAATCTATTCCTCAGTTCTCCTCATTTGTCAGGATGTCCAAATAGTCAAAAGTAATGTTTTTTTAATCTGATTATCAGAGATGTAGTTTTTATTTCATGTTTTGAATGTTTTTACATTTTAATTTACATTTCTTTCCAGACACAATGGATCCCATGCTGTCAGGACTGGCCTTACAGCAACAGCAACAACAGCTCCAGCATCCTCAAGTGGGACATGGTCCACTCGGCAACTTGGGCCCGCAGGGACATCACATGCAAGCCATGCAGGCAAACCGGCAGTTGAATCCAGCAGTGCTACAGCAACTTCAGCAACAACAACAGCAGCAGCACCAACAGCAGCAGGTTCAGCTGGCTCAATTAGGCGGTGCACGTGGGCCTTTCAACCCCACCAACCAGATGCCTGTACCTCCTGGCTGGAACCAGTTGCCCTCTGGTGTTCTTCAACCTCCACCTGTCCAGGGCCCAATGGGACCAGGCTGGAGAAAAGCTCCACCACAGCCACAAATGGGGCAGCGTCCACCCTCGTTGGCGTCTGTCCAGACGCCCAATCATCCACCACCACCATACCCATTTGGAAGCCAGCAGGCTGGACAAGTTTTTAATGCAATGCCACCACATCAGTTGCAACAACAACAGCAGCAGCAGACAGGACCAAACCAGTTTGCAACCCCTCAGCCCAAAGGCCCTCAGGGAGCACCAGGTGTAGTCGTGTCAAGAGCACCTCCTCCTCTGCCTCCCTCTTCTGCTCCACAAGGGAATCTCGCAGCCAAGTCTCCTGGTTCCTCGTCATCTCCTTTCCAACAAGGCTCACCTGGAACTCCTCCAATGATGGGACAGGGGCAACTTGGTTCTCGTCCTACAACTCCACAGGGATTTAGACAAGGTGTTGGATCTCCAGGAAGAGCCGTGATGGGTCAGCAAGGAAACATGCAGCCTGGCTTTATGGGCATTCCACAGCATGCACAGCTTGCTCAAGGTGGTATGGGAGGTATGTTATCAGCTGTTTAATGTGAAAGTGATGATGTATTGTTATTAGTTAAGTGGCCTGTATTTAAAAATATCTATTTTGCAGGTATGCCTAAGCGAATGCCAATGGGGTTCCCAAATACTTCTGTTAATCAGAACTTTGCACCAGGTCAGGTTACTACCACTGGAGCAGGTAGTACACCCCAACTACAAAATAATCAAAGCATGGCAAATGCTGGTAAGATATGCACTTATGGAGTGTATTGTTTTAATTAGGTTTTGTTATTTAAATTTATTATTTTTTATTTGTTCACACCTCTTAAAATCTCTTTGTAGGAGTCCAGTCTTCAGCCTCAGCACCAAACCACATGCAATCAAATCCCCTTCAAGGCACTGGAATGGCACACCACACTGGGATGCCAGCCCAACCCCCAGGCACCACCTCAGGTAGTACCATGGGACAACCTCAGCAAGGACTTCAGACTCAAATGATGGGTGTACCACAGACTCAGCATCAAACACAAACGGTAGTGTCCTCCCAAAGTCAAATGGCACAAAGCCAAGCAGGGGGCCAGACTGTCCTGTCTAGGCCAGTGAATGCCGGTCAAAGAGGAATGACCCCGCCCAAGCAAATGATGCCACCGCAGGGTCAAGGGATCATGCAGAATCAAAACCAAATCAGTGCTGGACCAGGACATCAGGCCTTATTGCTGCAGCAGCAACAACAACAGCAACAACAACAACAGCAGCAGCAGCAACAACAGCAGCAAAATGCAATGATGGAACACATTGTAGCTAGTCAGATGCAGAGTAACAAGCAAGCATTTGGCTCAAAAGCTCAGCCTGGGGTTATACCAGGCCAGATGATGAGAGGTCCATCACCCAACATTCAAGGTAATTTGGCAGAGTTCCAATCTCAGATGGGTCAGCAACAGATGACTCCGCAACAGCATCAGCAACAACAACAACAACAGCAGCAGCAGCAGCAACTGGTTCACTTGCAACAACAGCAGCAATTACAGCAACAGCAACTTCAGCAACAACAATTACAACAGCAGCAACTACAACTGCAACACCAACAGCCTCAACAGACACAAATACAGCAACAACAACAACAGCTGCAGCAACCCCATCAACAAATGGTACAACAACAGTCTCAACAAATTCCAATAAATGGCAATCCCAACCAAGTATTGGGCATGCATGGGCCTCAAATGCGCCTTCCAGGAAATCACCATTTAGTACAACAACAGCTTCAGCAAAAACAACAGCAGGTGATGCTGCAGCAGCAACAAGCTGGTCAGCAACATCAGCATCAACTTGGAGATGGTGGTGGAAGTGGTGATATGGGCCAGCAGATGGTTCAAGACCTGCAGAATCAGCAGCAACAGCAGGCCATGATGGGCGGCTCTCAACATTTACAGGTCGGCAATGGCCAGTTTCCTGGTCATGGCATGTCCTTCAATCCTCAATTTCCTGGTCAGATGCCAATAGGAGTCCAGTGTGGGCAAGCAGGTGGATTTCAAGTAAACAAAGATGTGACGTTAACTAGTCCCTTGTTAGTAAATCTTCTCCAAAGTGATATTTCTGCCAGCCAGTTTGGTCCCGGCGGGAAGCAAGGAGCAGGTGGGGCTGCTGGTAACCAGGCCAAGCCCAAAAAGAAGAAACCTCCTCGTAAGAAAAAACCAAAAGTAGGTGAAGGACAACAGTCTGCTGATAGTATGTGGTAAGTTATTTTTATTCATCGATTTATGTTTTACACTTAAGCAGAAAAAACAATTTCGTTAAACTGTTTGTAACATTTGTTTATCCATGTCTCAGTGGTCTGGATTCACTGCCTCATGGAATGGAGGAAACAGAGATGCAAGGGATGGGTAGTGATCAAGGGACTGGCATTGACTCTAACTCCAAACTATCTGAGTTTTCTAACCGACCAGGTAAATTCTTGAATGTCTATAATTTCATGAATACGTAATACATAATATTATGTAAAACATAGTATTGTCTTGCATATATTTTGCCTATTTTTATTTACTTAACATTTAATTTTTTCAGGTCTGCCTGGTCAGTCTGGAGATCAAAGGGTATTACAGCAAATGCCTATGCAGTTTATGCCCCCACAGCAGCAGCAACAGATGCAGCAAATGCAGCAGCAACAGTTACAACAGCAGCAGCAACAAATGCAACAGCAACAGATGCAACAGCAGCATCAACAGATCCAGCAACAGCAAATGCAACAGCAACAGATGCAAATGCAGAGTATGCAGGGTCCTCAAGGTCAAGCTGGAACATCACAAGGGCCCCATCATGTCCAGACCCAGATTCATTCACAACAGTCAATGCAAATGCAGCAACAGCAGCCACCACAACATCTCCAACAGCAACTACAGTCACAGCCACAACAGCAGCAACAACAGGTACAGCAGCAACAACAAGCCCAACAGCAACAACATCAGCACCAGCAACAACAGATGATGTTGATGCTTAAAATGCAGCAAGAAGCAAAGAATCGAATGCCACTACAGCAAGGTGGGCACATGTCAAAGGGTCTAGTGAATCCCAATGATCCATCTCAGAGAATGCCTGTATCACAGCCTGGCAGCATTCCTTTAATGATTGATCTTCAAGGGCATGGAGGTGTCCCACCCTCTCCTGATAAAGCCAGGGGCATGCCACTCATGGTGAATCCTCCTCTAGCTGGACCAGCAAGAAGGACACCACTTACAGAGGTTGGACAACCAACACCACCGGAGGACATTTCTGGAAACCATAGCTTACAGGACCGAGGACCCCCTGAAATTGGTCAACAATCAGGAAATGGAAATCAGCCAATCATTTCCAACCAAGGTTCTAATACACATTTAATGAAATCTGTGCCATTATCAGTGCCCCACCAGACAGGAGCTAGTCCGCAACAGCAGCCTCAGCAATCTCATAATATTCACTTTCCCAGTGCTCCCCCAACATCCCAAAGTTCTCGCCCTAAAACCCCAAATCGAGCCAGTCCCCGACCATATCACCACCCTTTAACTCCAACCAACCGTCCACCTAGCACTGAACCTTCTGAAATAAATCTGTCCCCTGAGAGACTGAATGCCTCCATTGCTGGTCTTTTCCCTCCAAAGATTAACATTCCTCTGCCACCACGGCAGCCAAACCTTAACCGAGGCTTTGATCAGCAAGGTCTTAACCCAACTACTCTTAAAGCAATTGGCCAAGCCCCACCAAGCCTAGCAACTCTTCCTGTCAATAACAATTCCAGTGGCAGTAATAATGGCCCACAGTCTTATCCAGCAGGGGGTGGCCTAGGAAACTCTGGAGGAAAACAAGACAAACAGACGGGGGTTGGACAAGCTAAAAGGGCTAGTCCCAGTAACAGTCGACGATCTAGCCCTGCCTCAAATAGAAAAGCTGCCACTCCAAGCCCAGGAAGACAGAAGGGTGCCAAAGCTTCATTGACATCACCACATCAACAGACAATGATGGTTAGTCCACCAAACATGATGGTTAGCCCCACTTCAGTGGTCTCAACTACTTCTGCATCTTTGCCACCAGCAGGTCCTGGAGAGTCACAGCAGAGTTTAAGTTCTCTGCAAACCCTACCCAACATCACTGATACAGTTAAAGATGGCCATGTACTTGCTACACAACCAGAGCAGCATCAGGGAGTTCATTTAAAAGAGCACCCTGCCCCTAAAATGGCAAGCCCGCGGGTGCCACCTCAGGAACCCAAACGGCAAGAGTCTAGCAATTTGGTTGAACAGCGTACTGATGATAAACAACAATCTCGGACAATGTCACAACATGACCTTAGCTCTGCTGTATCACCAGCTTTTCGAGATGCTCCAACATCTCTGAATCAGTTATTGGACAATACAGGAACACCAACTTTGCAAATGAAATCACAAAATACTCATCCAGTAGGTGTAGTCCATGTGCAGAAAGAGAGCCCCCATGCTCCACTAGCTCAAGAGAACCAATCTAATCCTGTTGTCTCTCAGAGCTTAAATATTGGTGCATCTTTGCTCACTAGTGAAGTGGAGCAGAAACCTAAATCTGCTGCAGTGTCAAGTCCAAATCTTATCCCTGGCAGCACAGCAAACTTGCCATCTGTTAGTGCTGTGTCAAGTGTTAGTTCAAACCAAGCTGTGCTGTTAAGCCTTACTTCAATTTCCAACCCTTCAGTAAGTTCGAATCATAATCTCATACCCATCTCAAATGCAACTCAAACTGTCTTACAAAGACCCATCTCATCAGCACAAACTCCACAAAACCAGATCACAGTCTTTGTAACCTCCAATCCAATTAGCTTTGCTACCAACACTGCTTCTGTAGTTCCTTCTGCTGTTGTTTCCAAGGTGCTGGCAGTTCCCAATAAGAACATTAGGACTCCAGATGTTCGTCAGCCAAATCCTAACCAATCAAGTCCACAGTTCATCACTGGAACTGTTTTTTCAAAATTCCAAGCTACATCTGTTCCATCAAATACTAACGTCATGTCTCAGCCTGTCACAATGGTTGGTCCTTTAGTCTCTGCAAATATCCAACTTACTCCCACCCCAATGTCCACTACGTCAGCACCTTCTGCACCAGCATCAACACCTATGCCGACACACTCCCCTGCTGTCAGCATTGCTACTACCCAGCAGAACCGCACTTTCATTGGGCAGCTTCAAGTTCAAGTTCCTGCAAGCCAGGCTTCCCCTGTAAGCGTAGTACCTCCACCTCAGCAGCCAAGCCCTGGAGGTCCGAAACAGGATGGTGTTTCTGATGCTAGTGGCTCGAAACCTAGTCCTGTTGGGCAGTCACCCGTTCATTCTGGCATGTCCTCGCCCTTTCAGCAGCTTTTAGCCTCTCCACCTGCTTGCTCTAGCCCAGGGCCTACAACTGTATCCCGGAGAAGTCCACTGCCTACAACAGCAACAATGCCAGCCAAAAGCAGTCCAGTTCAGAGTGCTTTAAGCAAAAATACTGCACTGACCAATCCTTCAAACAATGAAAATGATCTAAAAGAGTGCATTGCTGTTGCTCAATTAGGAAAACCATTGGAGGTTGCCACATCTCAAGTCTCTTCTGTGGTTACATCTGAAACCGTATCTTCAGTCCAGGCTTCTGCTCCAGTGACAGTTCCAGCGGCTCCTATAGCATCTCAACAGACCGCACTTCCTCCAAAAGTTTCTTCTCCTAAACCCACACCCACTAATACTTCAGTTCCTACTTCTTCATTAGTGTCTAATATGCCACCCCCAACCTCTGCCTCTGGAACGCTTCAACTCTCTAGTGTTGTTGCCAGTTCTTCTCCACTCTCTAGTTTGCCGCCAGTTTCAGTTGCTGCATCTGCTGCTGCTGTTCCAGCATCTCTCACTACAACTTCTGGCTCCTCCACATCTACACAGCTCTCTGGTGAACCGCAGCCACTCTCAGTGCCAGAGACTAGTGCACCTGACACCACTGAAACAAAAGAAGCACCTGCCGATGCTCCTAACATCTCAGGTAACTGCTTGATTGCATAAAGGCAACTTCATTAGTTACTTCAAGAGTTGGATTCTCATGTACATTTATAAAACTATTTGCACGTACGAGAGTATTCTTTGTCAAAAATCATACTTCTGAGTAGGTAGTATTTTCAGAGGTTTTTAAACATGTCTTTAGTTAATGCCATTAAAGGGGGGGACTCTTTATATCGTCACTTCTCATGGTAGAGAGCATATCCACACAACAGAGAGAGAGCAAGAGACCTTCCTATGTCGGTTTTTAATAAATTCAATACCTCACTTTTATATTTCCATGGTGATGTGTCTGGTTTATCATATAACATGGTGCAGCCCCATGCACAGCAGGGGATATATTAGAGCTGCTGGATTTACTACACAACGATTCATTAGCTTCTCTCAAAGTACATGAAAGTATGTGACTGTTTAGCTGGGAGAAAAATAGCATCCCGGTTAACATCCTGGTTACTTAAACAGTGTGTATCTGTTGCGTATAGCTCTTATTGTCAGATTATGTGTAAAGAGATTATCATTGTCATCTTCTATGGAAGCTTTGGGTCATGACTGAAAGGACAAGATCTCGGATACAAGTGGCCAAAATGAGTTTCCTTCGCAGGGTGGCAGGGCGCAACCTTATAGATAGGGAGCTTTGTCAGCCGGAAGGAGCTTGGAGTAGATTTGATGCTCCTCCATATAGAGAAGTCAGCTGAGGTGGCTCAGGCATCTGTTTCGGATGCCTACTTAGAGAAGTGTTCCAGGCATGTCCCCCCGGGAGGAGGCCTCGGGGAAGACCCAGGACACGCTGGAGGGAATATATCTCTCGGCTGGCCTGGGAATGCCTTGGGATCCCCCCGGAGGAGCTGAAGGAACTGTTTTGGGGAGAGGGAAGTCTGGGGTTCTCTCCTAAAGGCTGATTTATACTTCTGCGTCAAACACTGGCGTATGCTACGGCGCTGACGCATAGCCCTTCCCCGTGGCCATCGGCGTCACTGACGTGCACCTCTCAAAAGATGTAACTACACGTCGCAACAACGCGTAGCGCAAGCTCTGTGATTGGTCGGCTTGGTAGCGATGACGAGTCTGGGCGGGACCGAGAGCCGCGCTAATGGCGCGAGCCTAATGGAGCGATTGTTTACAAGTGTGAAGTCCTGTGAAGGAGCTCTGGATGGAAAGTTTTGTTTTGTGTTTACCTCATAGTTAAAGTTGTTGCACGTCCGCCAGTTCCTGCCTCAAAATGAGCGAGTTTGAGTCACTTGTACATCCAGGAAGTGTTCAGGAAAAGCAAAGCAGCAGCGAAGAAACTCAACACAGAGGAACATTTACACCTCACTGCCAACTAGCGCTTCGGAAGTGTTAATGCAGACCAACAGAGACAGCGCGCAGAAGTATAAATGCACAGCTGCGCGCGTTGCCTGCGCCATGAGTTACGCCGGTCACTTGACACAGAAGTATAAACCAGGCTTAAGACTGCTGCCCACGCTACTCGGCCCCGGAATAAAAAAAATCAATAGAAAGAAAATCATGCTGTAGAATGGCCCAGCCAATCACCTGTCCTAAATCCAATAGAAAATACAAAATAAAGCTCAAATTTGGTAGACGAGACCCACAGAACCATCAAGATTGACACTGGAAGTCTCACAACTGAGCAATGCATGTGACTTTGTTCTCTTCATTAAGCTCCCATCACCCAAAAGCCTTTTATAGAAAGTATTAAACACATTTCAGTAGTTCAGTACCCTCTGCTTGTGTCAGTACATTATTACACATAATTACTATTTCAGTTTTCTTTTGTTTGATTTTTTTTTTGTATTGTTTGTGTTTTTACCCAAATCTGCTCCAATTCCATGTCAACAACTCCTTTAGAAATATTATTCCCCTGGAAAAAACATAACATGTTCAATTCTTATTTCCCCCGCTGTGATTGAAAACAGTGATAAGTTTTGATCTTTGACAAGCAATGCTAGGTATATACCAGGCAGGCCCGTGCAGAGACCGTCCAAAGGGAATGTGCAGGATAAATTTTTTAAAAGGGGGGGTGGGGGGGGGGGGGGGTTGTCTACTAAAGAGCGGTGTTGTCGCACGCGTACTCAAGAACGGTGTCGCGCGCCTACTGAAGGGCGGGACCGAGGGTGTGTCGCGTCGCGGGGGCACGTTTGATCATTTTGGAAGGCCACTTTCTATCCAAGACTAAAAAGGGCATGTGCACTGCACAGGTTGAGCCCTATGTGTGCACGTGCCTGATACCAGGGGTGTCCAAACTTGATCCTGGAAGGCCGGTGTCCTGCAGATTTTAGCATCAACTTGCCTCAACACACCTGCAAGTATGTTTCTAGTAAGCCTAGTAAGAGGTTGACTAGCTAGCCCAGGTGTGTCTGATTGGGGTTGGAACTAAACTTTGCAGGACCGAGCTTAGACATGCCTAGTATATACAGTTTTCCATTCTGTGACACCTTCAGTACTGCGTGACCCAAGTCAGCTTCCAGGATGAAATTGGCAAACACAAAAGTAAGATTCATGAAAAGTGTTTAGCACAAAGTTAATTTCATTGTCTTGTTTTTTTTGTTAACAGGACAAGGTGTTACCACTGCAGCAGAGCAAGGGTAAGAAAACTGCATTAATAAGCTACACACTATCTTCATGCTCACAACCATGTGTGAAGACTGTCTGACCTCTGCATCATCATTTTAATTTCTAAATGATTCTCAGAATTTTAAAATGGATGTGTTTCATACCTTTGTTGATTCAGTGTTTCAATCAGCGTAATTTTATTAATCTGAATGATCTCACCTCATGACACTAATCATGGAATGATTCATGAAATCATTCTTTAACCTGATCTGTACTCAAATATGGGGAAGGAGGAAAAAATGTTGTTCAGCATCAAAGCAGTTTACCGCTGTTTTTCCACTTCTATAACAGATGGGCAAAGAAAAGAAAGACGCCCGTCAACTTAGCCCCAAGGTATGTATATACCAGACCTGTAGATCCCCTGCACGGGTCCGTGCGCAGGGCAGCATGACCGTTTAGTAAATATGGTCATTACAAGACGGACGTTATCTGTGGTAGATGAGGAAAAACAGCAAGTATGAATTCCTCAGTTGCACAAGGGCCAGAAGTGCTCATTTGCTCAATTTTAAAACAGCAGAAAACTAGTGTGTGTGTGTGTGTGTCTGTGTGTGTGTTTATATATAGCATACAAGTGACTGTACGAATGCAGACTAACTACGCTCTGTGAACCTTCTGGTTGATTTGTTTTGTCTCCGTTGCCCTTCTTCCCTGTCCAGGGATACAAGGGCCTCCACTGAGAAGGCTAAAGGTCCTAGTCGACGAAGCTCACGAACAGACAAGGAGCCCGAAGAGGAAGCATCTGACAACGGACAGAGAAAAAGAGCTGCTCGGCCTGGCTCGGCTTCTTCTAACACGGGAAAAGGTCACTAGTTCTTATCATCAGTGATGGGATGTTCAGATGATTTTATCGACACGGACCTTTGAGTCTTGACCATCAGCCACCCTCCACTCATTTCGTTTAAGTAGAAACTAGTTTAATTAAAACACGTTGATTCTCTAACACATAAAAGTTCTTGATAGTGACAAAACTATAATAGAGCCTTTAAATAAGAATCCATAAATGGTCAAGAACATTTACTTACCTGGGTCTTCAGGCTATTTAATCTATTAGCTATCTATTATTAGTTCAGTGGTCATCGTCTTAAACTAAAGCAGCCTGTGCCCAAGATTCGAGTAGTTTCGAGTAGTTTCTTCAGCACATATTAAAATGTACAGATTGAGATAAAAAAAGGGTATTAATTAATGTGGTATCACTTTATAATAACTACACACTATAAATCATTTATTAAGTATTAGCAAATAGTGAATTCATTATCTGTTAAGCATTATCTCTACATTAATAAACGTTAGTAAGCAGTTTATAACTGCAGCTACAAATGCTGTATTCTTGACTTATCACCATATTTAAAATGTGCTTAATAATTGTATTTTCATACTTAGTAAATGATTTATTTTTCATTACTAAATTAAGTATCAAATTATTTACAAACCATTTGTATTTAAGAGTAGTTGAGGGTTTTTAGGATCATTCAGAATGAGTTAGTAAATGATTAATAAACTATTGAAATCAACATTTATATGTCTTATTATTCAGGCATATATTAATGGTCACTATGTGTGTTAATGAATGCTTTATTAACTCAACTTCATGCAGTTTTGTGACCTAATCTAAAGTGAGGACTATTCATGCTTTATAAATCCTTTATAAATGACAAATAAAGGCTCAGTTAAATTCTAAACAGGAAGAATGAAATTATTCATTCCTATTCAATTAAAGATACACAAATGAAACTGCACTTCAAATAAAAAATAAATCTTTGCAACCTGATCTAAAATAAAATCACTGTAGAGTTCAAACATTACATCTTATTAAATTGTTTAATTATTATATTGTTGTTTCATCCAGTTTTGTTGTATTTTGACACTCCTGTTATTCAGCAATGTTTAAACTTTACAGTCATTTTACATTTTAGAAAAGATTGCACAGATTATAGTTCATTTGATTCTGAGCCTTTATTTGTCATTTATAAGGGATTTATAAGCATGAATAGTCCTCACTTTAGATTAGGTCACAAAACTGCATAAAGTTGAGTTAATAAAGCATTTATTAACATATTAGTTAACTATTAGTCTATGCCTAAAAAATAAGACATATAAACGTTAATTTCAATAGTTTATTAATCATTTACTAACTCATTCTGAATGATCCTAAAATTCCTCAACTACTCTTAAATATTACTGGTTTGTAAATAATGTGATACTTAATTTAGTAATGAAAAATAAATCATTAACATAGTATGAAAATACAATTATTAACCACATTATATAGACGCTTTTAAGTCAAGAATAGAGCATTTGTAGCTGCAGTTATAAACTGCTTACTAACGTTTATTAATGAAGAGTTAATGCTTAACGCATAATGAATTCACTATTTGCTAATGCTTAATAAATGATTTATAGTGTGTAGTTATTATAAAGTGTTACCATTAATGCCTCTAGTCCTTAATCAGGTTGTTCTTTCATCATAACTTTAGATAGCTAGCTCTTTACAGCTCTCACATGGTCGCACACTGAAGATAAGCAGGGCTGAATCTGGTGAGTACCGGGACGGGAAACCACATGGGAAAGAATAGGTTGCTGTTAATGAGGCCAGCAAGGGGTCTGTGTGAGTCCTAATGCCCGAGTATAGTGATGGGGACACTATATTGTCAGTGAGCACCATCTTCCGGATGTGAAGTTAAACCGAGGTCCTGACTCTCTGTGGTCATTAAAAATCCCAGGATGTCTTTAAAAAAAATAAAAACAGTAGGGGGTATCCCTACCTATACCTTTGTATAATTAGCACTTCCTGTGTGTACTAGAGTTGGGCTGATAGACGATGCCATCATCCATCGCTGATGGCCGACAGTCACCACGTTGCTGAGCCGGCATTGCGATGCCCCGCCCCGTTGCAAATCCGCTAACGAAAAATACACACTCTGGCCCCGTTTACACTAATGCGTCTTAGTTTTTTTTTTATGGCATTTTAGAGCGAAAATGATCCACATCCACTCTGGCGTTTTATCTAGCATTTCTGAGCAGCCCTCCTTCCACATTAATGCTGAAAACGCACATCACGTGACCACAAACACACACACACACTGCCATGCGCTCGAGACAGCGGGGTCCAGGCAGTCAGCGGGTAAGTAGACTAGTTAAATTTTTCGCTTTGATGCTTGTACTTAGTAATTTTAGTGAAAAGAAAACATCAGATACTGTTGGCTGGTTCCTGTTGGTTGTGCACCTTAATTACCAAAGTTTGTCTACGCCATTATAACGACACCAATCACTCTGCCAGTTCACGAGTCCTGCGGAAAAAGTGATTGACAGGTGGTAATTATGTCTGTAACTTATCTTTATTCATTTATGATTTGGTTATGGGTTAAACAAAGACCATGCGGGTCAGGTAGTTGAAACGCGTCTCACTCAAGTTGTTAAACGTGATAATTAATCTTGTCTCCAACGACTCTTCGATCTTTTGAATCTATCAGGTAACGTGTCACAGCAGTACGCTGCTTCAGTCTTTCACACTTCTACTTAGTAATTTTAGTGAAAACCTCAGATACTGTTGGTTGTGCACATTTTTACTGACCGACCTCCCGCGGAAAAAGTGATTGACAGGTGGTAATTTGTGTGCAACTTATCTTTATTTATTCATGATTTGTTTATGGATGAAACAAAGACCATGCGGGTCAGGTAGCTGAAACGGTAGGCTACAAATAATTAATTCGTTATAAATTAATTATTTATTCATAATCAACCCAGCTCCGCCTATGACGACGATGCCCATCGTTTGCCCATCGCGATGTTTAACATTAGACGTCGTACGATGCCAAATTGGTCGACATCGCCCAACCCTAGTGTGCGCATTCACAAATGAACGAATCAATCTCTTAGTCACATTCAAAATGAACCAATCATTCAGGAATGACCCATCGTTAGTAGCCACCTAGATCAAAACAAGCAGAAATATGTTCCTCTCTGTACCTTTTATTGTCTATTATTAAATTATTATTATTATTATTAATAGCTAGGATGCGTTTAATGATCCACTTTATATCACTGTTTACATCAAATTAACATTTATTATTATGATTGATCCCTTAAGTACCATTTTTTTCCCTGCTGTCTTGCAGAATCAAACACTGGAGCCAGTCCCACCCAGGCAAAGCGAAGGAAGTCGAAGTAATCCCGACAGCTGAATAAACCTGTGAATTGTACATTATTAGTAGTTTTATCTGCTGTTTTTTTCCTATTGCTCTAAGGTAAACCTGTACAGAAAGTTTTTTCTTCCTATTTTTAATCATGATACTGTATTTTGTCTCTGGCTACTAGATGAGATCACGTGTAGAACTGTGTAGGATGTGTTTGTACGTCATTGTTTTGGTGTGACATTTTTTTTTATTATTATTAATATTCATCTATTCTGGATTAATCATGTGAGGCAGACTTAAAATCACATCTGCAGCATCACAATGTTAATAATGTGACCGAATGAGAATTTTAACGATCCCCCCCCCCCCATCATGAATTAATTGTGCATTTCAATACTGTCAGCACCCGCGTTCACTCATTTAGCCCCCTGAATCACATGCATTAAACTATTTTTACAAGTGTACACTTGACTTGTGTTGTTTTTTTTATCAGTAACGCATGTTAGTGGAAGCTCACACACAAACTGGGGTGTTTCTATCATGAGAGCAACATAAACAAGAGGGGTACTAGACAATTGACTCTATGCACAAACTCTGCCGACCTATTTCCGGTAGAAAAGTAGTCAGTCCCTCAGCTTCCGCATAGCACGTTCTACAGTGAAATCTTACAGCGCTAACGCTAAATTCTGAGCATGGCAAAGAAGGGAGATTTACACTTAGATTGATGAGGATCCTGTGCCAGTGGATGCCCAGCATCTGGAACATCATTATTGTTCAGTTCCACAACCCACGGCAGATGATTAATGCACCGGATCAGGCCGACAGTCTCCGTGTGGAGGTGGAGTGACTGAAAGGAGATTGCTTCGATGCTGCTTTTGGTGTTACACAGCTCTTGATCTTAAAGGGATAGCTCACCCAAATATGAAAATGTACTCATTTACTCGCCTTCAAGACGTCATTAATCAGTTTACAAACACAAAGTGGAGTTTATTTATAAACTAATTTCGAGAGGATCACGTGCTTATGATTGATCACAGCTGGTCCCGCATTATTCAGTTCATGATTCACCAATCAGATGACTCCTAAGCCACTATAAATACTCTAAGTTCCATATTACAGACATCTTCATTTTGAAGAATCCCCTCATCCACTCCTCCTCCTTTCCTAGATGGGTGGCCCAATGGTTAGCACTGCTGCCTTGCAGCAAGAACGTCACTGGTTTTAATCCTAACCAAGCCAGCTGACGTTTCTGTGCGGAGTTTATACGTTCACCCCGTGCTCACGTGGGTTTCCCCCGGTTTCCTCCCACCGTCCAAAAACATGCAGCTTAAGTTAATTGACTATTCCAAATCGGCACCATAGACATGCTGCTAGTAAGTAGTCATCTCCTAAGAGCAATCACAATCTGTTCATTAGCTACTACAGCAGGGGTGTTCCTGAGATCTACCTGAGCTCAAACTCCCCTCTCACCTTGCAAACGGGAAGGAGCCCCGGGCTCAAGGATCTTCTGATTTTATGTTCCCGGGACAGCATGCCAAACAAGCTTTACAATCAATCATCAGCTAAGTGTGAACTCTTCAATACTCAGATGAACTCCAGTAACATTGATTTCCATGTGGAAAAACTAATAATATTAAATGGTATTCCAACAACAAGTCGTCTTCATTCTGAAGTTAAGTTTGTTTTATTTGCTATCATGATTCGCATCAACTTGAAACGGTTCTGAAATTAGAAAATAATTATAGGGTGGTGCATGATTTCATTTTTTGGGAACCAGTTGGATTGTTGGAAGATTGTCGGGTGTTGCCAACAAATGAAGAAAGATTGATAAATGGACAAATTTTGAAATTACCTAAATTACTAATAGTCCTGCCCTAAAGGGCTGATTGTCTCCTTAAAAGGACATGAAACCTCCTCTTTCGGTTCGAGTCTACCTCAGATTTCTTTCAAAAAATGCTTTATGATGGGCGTGGAGCACTGAGCAGAGGGAGGAGTGGGCGTGGCCAGCAGAGCAGGGGAGTGAACAACTGTTGTCAGTCGGCTCACAAAATGAGACACAAACCATAAGGAGACATGTGATTTTAAAGTTTACAAAGTTAAAATGCAAAGAAATAAACATTAATTTAAAGTCCTGCTACATTTGTTATTCACAATTTTATATAGACATAACCACAATTTGTTATATCATCATAAAAATAATCTGATTTATAATAATTTATCATTATTTGTAATCGTCTTGTTTTGATTAACCGGTCTGAACAAACTGATTCATTCGAAGTGACTCACGGTTCTGAACACAGTACTCAACATGAGTTTACTCATCATCACAGATATTTTTTATTAATATTTTCTATAGGACGCTTTACGATCATATATTTGTGCATATAACATAACTCATTTTATATTTATCATTATTGTAGTCGTCTTGTTTTGATGAACCGGTCTGAACGAACCGATTCATTAGAAGTGAGTCACCATACAGTGCTCAGCATAAATGAGGAAGCCCTCACAGATCTTTAATTTGAATTAATATTTTCTATAAGATGCTTAACAATTACATCCCTTCTGAATAATCCAGCTTAAACCAGCCTAGGCTGGTTGGCTGGTTTTAGCTGGTCGACCAGGCTGGTTTTAGAGGGGTTTTGGCCATTTCCAGGCTGGTTTTCAGCCATTTCCAGCCTGGTCTTAGCTGATCAGGCTGGGAGATGACCAGCTAAAACCAGCTTGACCAGCTTAGCCAAGCTGGGAGTCCAGCCAAAACCAGCTATATCCAGCTTAAACCAGGCTGGTAAAGCTGGTTTTATCTGGATTTGGCTGGTAATTTTCCAGCCTGACCAGCTAAGATCAGGCTGGAAATGGCTGGAAACCAGCCTGGAAATGGCCAAAACCCCTCTAAAACCAGCCAACCAGCCTAGGCTTGTTTAAGCTGGATTTTTCAGATGGATTTTTTATATATATGTGCATTATATGCACACACACACATATATATATATATGTGTGTGTGTGTGTGTGTGCATATAATATATATATCTCCTTTTATAGTTATAGTAGTAGCTTTGTTTTGATGAACCTGAGCGAACCGATTCACTAGAAGTGACTCACCGTTCTGAACTCTACAAAACTGGTCAAACTGATTCATTCCTCAGGTGCAGTTAATTAGTCTCATCAATAGGGAGAAGAGCTGAGAAGCGCCAAGAAGTGGACCCGTGTTGTATCCGTTATCGAGGAAGTGATCTTTACATTGGATCTCGTGTTGTTTGCGTCTTCTTGAAGGAAAAATCTTCTTGGTAGCAAAGTCTGAGGGAAGGACACTTGGACTGAACAGCGGCTCTGCGGGTGATGGAGTTGTGTCTGTACGGTCAGATGCTGTCCTGCGGTCAGCTTATGTCTCTGGAGGAGCTGCTGCAGGTCCAGGATCAGCCGCTCAGTGAGGAGCAGGCCTGGGCTCTGGGTTTCCAACTCTGCTCGCTGTTTTCTCATCACACCCGGAGGACTGTCGTGTCTGCAGCCGCCGACGGTGTTTTACTGTCCGCCGACGGCAGCGTCTCCCTGAGGCCGGTCAGCAGTATTACCGGTGAGAACACTAACATGAGAAATAAAAACATTGACAAGGCACGTGCACACATAGTGCACACCTGTGCAGTGCACCTGCCCTTTTCAGTCTTGGATAGAAAGTGCCCTTCCAAAATGATCTGAAGTGCCCCTTAACCCTCCCTATAATTTATTATTATAAATCTGATTATTTTAATGATGATAAAACAAATTGTGGTTGTGTGTATATGAAATTATGAATAACAAATGTAGCAGGACTTTAAATTACTGCTTATTTCTTTGCATTTTAACTTTGCAAACTAGTAAATGATGTGTCTCCTTATGGTTTGTCTCTCATTTTGTGAGCCGACTAAGTAACTTAAAGTAGCTTAATTTTGCAGCTTGGAACATCATTATTATTATCATGATAATACTGTATAATCTGATGAAAGCTTTAATTATACACAACAAGAAAGGTGGATTCCATTGTAATGTTATAAATACAGTTCAATTTTTTTATTCAACATCTCGTCTGCAGGTGATTCCCTCGTCATCGAGACAGAGGAGCAGGTAGGTGATGAAGCTGTTTTCAGATGCATGATCCCATACACGTTCATGTCTGAGTTTGTTGAGGTGTAGTAAACTTGAATTTACACAGACTCATGGAGACTGGTCACTTTGGGGACAAAATTGAGTTCCCCATGAGTTAACATGCTTCTACATCACACAATTATTATTTATTATATAAACATTTTGAGTGCCTTTTCAGCAATATTCAGATTGTTGGCGTACATCACAGCACCAAATACTTAAAGACGTTAGGCTGTTTATTATCAAACCTTAACATTTTCACATTTAATTTGACCTATGGCATAAAATAAAGTCATTTGAGATATAAATTCTGCATATATACAAAATGCATCTTGGTTTTCTCCAGTAGTTTTACAGCAGATGACGCTCTAGGCTAGTTTTTTACAGTAGATGGCGCTCTAGGCTAGTTTTTTACAGCAGATGGCGCTCTAGACTAGTTTGTAACAGCAGACAGCGCTCTAGGACAGTTTTTTAACAGCAGATGGCGCTCTAGGCTAGTTTGGAACAGCAGACAGCGCTCTAGGACAGTTTTTACCAGCAGATGGTGCTCTAGGCTAGTTTTCAACAGCAGACAGCGCTCTAGGACAGTTTTTAACAGCAGATGGCGCTCTAGGCTAGTTTGGAACAGCAGACAGCGCTCTAGGATATAACAGCAGACGGCGCTCTAGGACAGTGTTTAACAGCTGATGGTGCTCTAGGACAGTTTTTACCAGCAGATGGTGCTCTAGGCTAGATTTTACCAGCAGATGTCGCTCTAGGCTAGTTTTCAACAGCAGACGGTGCTCTAGGACAGTTTTTAACAGCAGATGGCGCTCTAGGCTAGTTTGGAACAGCAGACAGCGCTCTAGGATATAACAGCAGACGGCGCTCTAGGACAGTGTTTAACAGCTGATGGTGCTCTAGGACAGTTTTTACCAGCAGATGGTGCTCTAGGCTAGATTTTACCAGCAGATGTCGCTCTAGGCTAGTTTTCAACAGCAGACGGTGCTCTAGGAGAGTGTTTAACAGCTGATGGTGCTCTAGGACAGTTTTTACCAGCAGATGGTGCTCTAGGCTAGATTTTACCAGCAGATGGTGCTCTAGGCTAGATTTTACCAGCAGATGTTGCTCTAGGCTAGTTTTTAAAAGTAGATGGCGCTCTAGGCTAGTTTTCAACAGCAGACGGTGCTCTAGACTAGTTTTTAACTATGTACTACACTCCAGGACAGTTTTTAACAGCAGACGGCTCTCTATGCTTTACAAACAGCCATACTCTGATCGCCTCCAATTTTATTCACAACCACTTGAATCTTTCCTAACGTTTATTATTGTTAATGATTAATTTAGATTCAAGTGAATTACAAAATTGAGGTCCCCATGGGCAAACATGCACACAGAATGACATTTTGAAAATGTGAAAATGCAGATTGTTTTCTGCGAGAGTGGGGGTTGGGGTAGGGGGAGATTATGTCTATGAAAGTCTCCCTACCGGGATATAGGAACGTGTGTGTGTGCGTGTTCAGGCGGTGGAGTTTGTGGGTCGTCTCGTGTACCTGAGTCTGGACTGGGGTCTGGAGACGCAGGTGGAGCGAGAGCTGAGCGAGACGCTGGAGATCCTGCTGTGTCAGATGACCAGAGTGACCTGCCGTCAGCCCGTCTGCTCCATCGCTGATGTCATCCAGGTATGCTGACATCATCGCTCCATCCGACCAATTGCAGGAAATGGATGCATCAAAGCAGGAGTGCTATGTTGTGTTTTTGGGTCAGGTCTGTAGGAAGCGTCTGTGCAACCCCGCTCAGGCTGATCAGCACTATAAGAGCGTGTGCCGCAGTCTGTTCCTGCACAGCGCTGAGCTCTTCCAGTATCTGCAGATCGTTCAGCAGTCCAGGAAGGTGAGAGACTTAAAAGGCAGATCTCAGAAGAGTTATGTTTTTTTGTTGCTGTTTTATGTAAATAGTGTCTTCACATTTGAAAGATTTGGTATTATTAAAACAATATGCCACAATGTACCATTTCAGCATTGATATTACAGTGCAGGCATCGGACTATAACAGTCAGGGTGGAGTCAGGATATTTGACAACTGTGATTTATGGAGCCACTGTAAAGTTTAACTAACAGAGGGAAAGTTTGATATTTGCATGCATTTTGCAAGGACTGTTATTATACTGTAAGCACCTCAAGAGACTTTAAGCTCTTATGCATTAAAAAGGGTCTTTATTTGGTTTTGGGGGTCTCCAACAGAAGGCTGATCTGCATGCATGGTCAAAAAACACTTGCATTGTCTTATGATATGCATTTATTTTTACCTAATGAATCACTGAATGAATCATATGGGAGTCGTTGGGATACGACTCCCAAATGATTCGTTCAGTGATTCATTTGTTCCCAAACCCCTCCTGATCAGATGACCCAGTCTGTTGTGATTGGTCGACTGGGTTCAGTTAAAGTGGGAAAATATAATACGCTGGTGTTTCGGAGTATGGAAAAACTGTCTCTATGATGTTTTAATATCAATTGTTTCTATTTTATGTATACTTGTCCCTTTTTATTCCTCATGTAAAGCACTTTGAATTGCCACGGTGTATAAAATGTGCTTTATAAATAAGCTTGCCTTGCCTATACATATCAGCTTGTTGTTGGAGACCCCCAAAACCAATCCATGACCCTTTATAAGACACTTTAATAATGTGGGATCACAGAGCACAAAAAATTTCAAGTTTTATATATTAAAGTAACGGTGGCTCAGTGGTTAGCACTGTTGCCTCACGGCAAGAAGGTCGCTGGTTCGAGCCTCGGCTTGGTCAGTTGGCATTTTTGTGTGGAGTTTGCATGTTCTCTGTGTTGACGTAGGTTTCCTCCGGGAGCTCTGGTTTCCCCTGACAGGCCAAACACATGCGCTATAGGGGAATTGATTGACTAAATTGGCCAAAGTGTATGAGTAAATGTGAGTGTGTTTGGTTAGTTCCCAGTTATGGATTGTGGCTGGATTGGCATCCGCTGTGTACATATGCCGGTATAGTTGGCAGTTCATTCCACTGTGGCGACTCGTGAAATAAAAAGGGACTAAGCCGAAGGCAAAGTAATTAATGATTGAATATATTAAAGTAAATTTGTATCTACATTATTAAATGAAGTTTTTAATTTTAAAGCCATTATTAATGTAATTTAGCAATTAACTACTTGAAATAAAATAACTAATTTTAATTCACACAAATAAATTATTAGTAATAAGACAATTTTGGCAAAAAAAAGTTGGAGTAAATGGTCACTGGGAGTGGCTTTGAGCATCAGATATCAATCTCACTTTGCTCACAGCTGATTAGTTCAGTTTGGGTTTGCATTCTGCAACCTAGAATTAAACCTGCACTAGAGCAGGTAAGCAAAGTAGTTAACATGGAGACAGGTTGTTTCTCAATATGCGTTCTTCTCGTGTTCTCGTGTAACGTCATTATCAGCTGCCAAAGTTCAGTTCCAATACTCAAGACTGCAGAAACAGGATGCATGAAACTTCCCGCATGTGTTCTTGATATTAGGGATGCAGCGATGCAGACTTGAACACCGATCTCGCTCTGGAAGTCCCAGAAGTCAATGCGACTTTAGGTTGGAAGCTATGCGTTAGATTAATTATTTAAGTTCAGAGATTTAACTTATTTACCTTAGGAGTTTTCCTAAATGAGACGGCGAATACAAGCATCACCATGAACGTCTTAATAAAGGAATAAACACATTAAAGGTGTTTATTTGCTAAAATTCATATTAAAATCAGTTTTATTTATATTGTGCAATGTATATTTATAATGTTTTATGCAGAGTTTATATTTTGAAAACGGGAAAAAAAAAACAAATCATTCTATGAGTGCTGTAATGTTAAAATTATTTACCATTAAAAACACGTGAAGGTCACGTGACCATCAGGAAGAACGCAGCATTGCATTTCTCACAGGACGCATTCTCTGTTCTCGCGGTCTCCCGAGTTTGTTCTTCCGAGGACACCTGGCAAGACCGCTTTCCAGAAGAACACAAGTCCGTTCTCTGCGTTCTTGGAATTGAGAAAACCAACCTGCTCATTTTTTAGTACTTTTTTTTTTAGCTTGCTCAAACTAAATACAAACCTGGGTTGAAAATCTAAACTGGCTTTGTGCAACAGGCCTGTGCTGTTTTAGGAGTCACATGTCATTTCCTGTATTTCGCATGCTCTCAACAGAGTCTGCAGAAACTGCTGGAATCCGAGACTCAAATAGTGGCGAAAGTGTCCACAGACTGGGTGAGCAGAACTGAGTGCAGATTTACACTGTTTATTATTAACTTAAAACAGGAAAGGTTTGCGCATGGTTTCCATTGCAGGTATTTGTGTGGAAGGATCTGGTGGAGGAGCTGAGCAGAGGTGTGGTGTTGAGGCCTTCAGCTAAGAGTCTGACTGTAAAGAAACGTCCAGTTCCTGTGGAAATTCCTCCATTTCACCAGCTCCTGCGGGACATCCAGAGCCGGCGCTACACACTCCGCAAGGTTCAGGTGTGTGTGTGTTCACTCCTGCTCTTATTCATTTCCAATCATTTTTCCTATTGTTTTTATGATTGCCAGTTAATTCCACTGGATTAATGGCCATCATCTTGCATTCATAGGATGTGTCAGATGGACAAAGAAAAGCAGACGCTCATCAGACTCTTCTAGAGTTCATCCGCTCACGGCCAACATTGAGACCGGTGAGAATATAGCATTAAGACACATTTAATATTTTGAAGTTCCTGATTAATGCTGAGTTCAAGATGGATTGACAACAGGGGGTTTTACACTAAGGCCGTACTCACACTATGTACAGTTGCCTCAAACCGGACCAAAGCACGCTTGTCCCCCCTCCCGTCTCCCACGACGACCCGCACTCACACCATATCGGGCCTCGGCACGCTTACGTCATCGCTGTTGGTCTGTTCAGTGAGAAGCGCTCTCTCACTCAGCAGCACAGTGGAGATTTCTCTAGTTATATCGTGTCAGTGGTTTGATATGCAGTGACATGCAGTCAAATATTTCACCAAACAGTCCTTAGGGATGCGGAGACACGCAGTCAGATATTTCGCCGAACAGATCCACCACTTTTGCCGCTCATAAACAATCATAAAGCCCTCGTGCTGCAGGAATAAGGAGGTCTGCTGAAGGTGCAGCTGTCGTGCTGTGAGGAGTTTTCGTCTTTAATGAGCTACGGCAGTTTGCGTTCACTGAACAGTAAGAATGATTAATAAATCCATATGAAACAGCCCCTTAAAAGTCACGTCTCACTTTCAGTTTTGGGCTTTGGCGCGTTTTGCACTCACACACAAGCGTACCACGCCAAAGCCCAAGTGAACTGGGCTCAAGTGAACTGTGCCTGAGCCCGACTCAGAAGTGCACTCTCACTTCTCAAACGATCCGGGAAACGGGCCTGGGCACGGTATGGATGGCATAGTGTGAGTAGGCCCTAAATGACTTTACGATAGAAAGAATTGCCGACAATTTTGTCCAGGTCTAAAAACTTTCACAACCAAATAAATGACACAAAAACAACACACGATCACGTAATATTGCCTTTAGTGGGGTAGAAAATGTACTTATTTTGCTCACCTGGAAGGGAATTAGCAATTTCTCCTTCACCTTTTTCATTTTCGACCCAGTTGTGGTATTGCTCAGATGACATGGCATTCATTTCTTGGGTCCAAATGAACTGAAAGTGAGCGCTTTTAACTTCTCCCCCATCCACCTGCTGGCCTGCAGATACACACACTAGTGGATGCGTCTCTTTTATTGGCTGTAGGTCATTTCTGATGTTATTTTCAGTCAGAACTCATTTCACACGGCATGATTTGAAACTCCGACAGCTCCAGATATTTAGCATGCCAAATATTTCATCGGCGATTCTCTCAGATGGCGTCCTCTATAGTTCACACTGTGTGATTGTCACTCGCGTGAACGAGCACCGATTTGCCTGTGGTTTCGGGTATTTGTCAGTGGTTTCTCAAAACCTGTTGGCTAAAATCATGCAGTCTAAACTCTGCATAAAGGATTATTCAGCCAAGCCAAACTAAATAAATAAATAAATAAATAAATCATGTTTATTTTGCTAAGAGACATTAGCCCCTTTCAGACATACCTGCCAACACTCCTGCTTTTCCCGGAAGTCTCCTGTATTTCAGACCTATCTCCTGTTTTGGTCTCCCGGAAAACTCCCGGAATTCAACCCCACCCTGTTCCTCAGCTTTTTGGTACAGTACAAAGATGTATTGAATTGAATTGAATCATCTCCTCTTTTATCCTCAGGCCTCCGAGCGCAAGATGGGCATGAAGCCTAAAAAGCAGAGCAGTCTGCATGAGCTGCTGATGGAGGAGATCCGCTCGGCTGACCACTCCAAACGCCTGAATCGCAGCCCACGACACCACAACAGTACAGTATTAGGATCTGCTTGTGCATGACGTGTGTTCCTGCACGACAGGAGAAGAGGCTGCAGTTTCAAGAGCGCATTTCTAGGACTCCATATTATATGGCCTTACTGTAACACAACCCTTAAACCCAACTTACAGGAAACGTGGAAAGCTAATGTCAAATATACAGTTGGGTATGATTGTGCAAGGTAGGCGTTAACTTCAAATGTAGTGTTTAAGGCTCGAACACACCGGGACACTTTTCGTTTGTGTTTATTGTCAGCATTTTTCCAAGACATTTTTCCGGATTTAAACCCAAGCGATTTTTCACTGGTGTCGTGCAGAAGAGTATGCAAAATCACTCCAAAAATCACACAACTTTAAGCTTCTGACATCCGCTTGTAACACAGAAGAAGACAAAGTTGACAAGCTTGTTGTTAAAGTTGCTGGCAACTTGAACAAGCATAGTTCAAGCAGCAGCTCCAGCTTTAGCGAGGATGAAATGATTATTGTTCAGTAAGCAGCTCCACGTTCATATCGCCTCTGGGCATCATCTTTAATGTGCGCTCACATTGACAGTTTTGCGATTGAGCCAAGTGCGGTTTACTGTGGCTGCGTCTGAAAATGCCCACTAATTAGTAGGTACTGCATTTGAATTTAAATGTACTACTCGGCCGTTGAAAAAGTGCGTTCTATACAGTATGAATGTTATTCGGGCATACTTCATCCGCCATTTTGTCATGGTCACGTGACCTACCTGCGTCAGTTGCGTCGCTTCACTCCCATTCATGAATTCTCTCGCGGGGCATCATGGGATGGTGCAGCATGCATGGGATGCACACTTTAGAATCTCACTGGAAGTAGTAGGTCATCCGGGTACTTCTTGCATACTGATTTTTGAATTCTATGAATTCGGACATACTACTCGGCTTACATACTGATTTTAGCGTACTGTATAGTATGGAAGAATGCAGTTTTGAACGCAGCCAGCAACTTCAGCAGCTCTGTGCAAGTGAACAAAAGTGCCAATCTGATTGGTGGAGAAGGTTTGGATGCGGTGCGTCAAAACAAAACTAAAAAATCGAGCATATTATAGCTAGGGGTTTTGTGCGTTGGTGTGCACGATCACATTGGTGCCCTTTATTTAGTCACGAGGCGTTAAACGCCAACAGAAAAGTGAGCAGAAAGCATCCCGGTGTGGACAGGACTTTAGATTTTCACCCTCTATAGGATGGATCAGGAATAACAGCAGTAAAACTTGGGTCCTAGAAATGCGCTTAAGCCTCTGGTTGTGCACTAGCATACTACTACCCGATGTGAGTACATCACTGGCTGCTGTTTTTCTCTACAGATGGATTGACCGTCCCTGAAGACTCCACTGGTCTGAAAGCTCCTGCACTCAGGATCCCAGCACACGTACGCCTTTAATTCTGGTTTACAGCAGAGCATTCAGTAATGCCAAGAGATAACACTAAGTTCATCACTATGTTAACTGCAATATGTTTGCTTGTTTTTCTTTTCTTGTAAATGTACAGGATGATTCAGAAAGTCCAGTGCCAGACTCCAACTTCACAGGTGAAGTTTAATGTTTTGTAAATAAGGGATGCTTGAAGATCACTGGCCTGACCATGAAGCTGCATTAGCTGGCTGGCTGGTTAAGTTTCAGTTTCCTTCGCACCAATCTTAGGTTTTAGGAAACATGAAGGCAGCTCGCTCTTTGCCATGATAATATGGAGCAGCTGAGCTAGCTTTATGGTATCTAATGCTCAGTTTTGGTGCAAACTTAACTCAAACTTCATGGCACAGAACTAAATGTAAATTACAACTAAATTAAGAAACTAAAGAAAGAAAGAAAACAAGGGGGAAAAAAATCGAAAGAGAAGGAAAAAAAAAAAGAGATGAAAAGAAAAAGCAAGGTGAAAGAAAAATAAATGAAATGGAAAATGTCAGTGTAAGAGAAAAAATTCAAATGTAATAAGAGAAAAGCAAAAAAGAAAATAAACAGAAAAAGAATGAAAAAATTAATAAATGAAAAATAAAACAAAAGAGGAAAAATAAAAGAGCGAGACAAAGAAAGAGAAGGGTGTTATGGTTATAAGGACTATGTGGTTCATTTAGTGGAATAGTCTGAGAACACTTTTTGATCTTGATTGACTTTTTTGAAATTCACTTCTTTAAAAATGTATTTTCATTGAATAATTTAAGTGCATTTTTTCAAAGTGTCTTGATTATCCACTTCCAGACTTCAGAGGTGGCGCAGGAAAGCGGAGGACCAGATCTTTTGCCTGCAACCGGGATCTTCTTAAAGCGGTGCGAAGTAACCATGATCTGCTGAGATTAAGTGTAAAGTTTTACATTTGAAAAGTTTTCTATAAACACAAATTACTCATTAACAAAGATGATATGTCCACTCATTGGTACACAGACAGACAGCTCATTAAATGCAAATAAATAGGCTATCTTTTTATATTCATGAGTTAATTGTTATACTAATGTTGAAATAGTGTCAACACTAGGCTTCACACAAAGTATTAAGACTGAAACTGATCATAAGGTAGCATTTTGCTTTAAATGAGTCTTTATAAAGGGGAGCTATTCTGCCCCTTTTTAATTTTATGTCCCTGGAGTAAGTTTCAAAATACCTCACAAATAGTGCTTTAAAACTCATTTAGGCTTTAATCCTAATTGTGCCGTTTTGTTGACTGTCGCTTTAAATTCAAATGAGATTGAGCTCTTTCCAAAATAGGGCGGAGCTACTGATGCCTGTTTGTCAGCATAGTAGCAGATTCAATAACAAGACTAATGTCCTATGCTAATCAGGGAGAGATGGTCACTAGTAGGCGGGGCTTTCCCCCTCTGAGGCGTACAAAGGGAGAATGTCAGTCAAACTGTTTCTGCAGACTGTTTATATCAAGTTTGATTAATTATATATATATATATATATATATATATATATATATATATATATATATATATATATATATATATATATATATATATATATATATATATATAATTTTTTTTTTTTTTATATATATATATATATATATAGAAGCTGGTTATATTTACACACTGTTCCCACAAAACTGTTTAAACTCCTTATAAAAGTGTTTTACTTTTTTTTTTTTTTTTTTTTTTTTTCTCTCCATAATAGGTCCCCTTTAAATGTGGTCAAGTCATTCATGATATTAAATGGACATTCATTCATTCATTTTCTTGTCGGCTTAGTCCCTTTATTAATCCGGGGTCGCCACAGCGGAATGAACTGCCAACTTATCCAGCAAGTTTTTACGCAGCGGATGCCCTTCCAGCCGCAACCCATCTCTGGGAAACATCCACACACACACACTCATACACTACACAATTTAGCCTACCCAATTCACCTGTACCGCATGTCTTTGGACTGTGGGGGAAACCAGAGCACCTGAAGGGAAACCCACGCGAATGCAGGGAGAACATGCAAACTCCACACAGAAACGCCAACTGAGCCGAGGCTTATTAAATGGACAGTTGACCCAAAATGTTAACCTCATTCACTCACACTCAAATGATGTTGAACACAAAACAAGATATTGTGAGGAATGCTGGGGGGGAAAGTCATCGACATAAGTGCATAACAATAGTACTTATCAGATGATGCAATGTCAATTTAGTCTAACTCTCAGAAAAAGTTTAAAAATCAATATAATATATTTTTATTTATAAATTTGGGGGCCTAAACTAAAAGCTTAGTTTTTATACGTAATATAACTTTCTTTTTTTTTAATAATATAAACGCATGAAATCAAAACTAATCATAATTGTTAGCTCCATTTTGTGGAGAACAATTCATCTGTGCATGTTAAGAAAAAAAATAGTTTGCCCCTGTGATCTAAAATTAAAATCTGAGAATGCTCTTCCTGTATTTTGTTAAATTCTCAGGTCAAAGCTGCATCCCAAATGGCACCCTATACACCAAGCACTATGTACTTATGCACTTACTCAACAGTAGAGTATATCAATGTAGTGTCATTTCAAATGGAACACTGTTTATTTACTAAGCGGAAGTTTAAACCGTTTTCCACATGATGGTTGCCAAATTAGCGAAATGTCCAAAGTACCAAATAATACCTTCTATGAGTATAACTGCATTCTCCATTGGGAGGCGCTGTAATCACTCGCATTTTCTTTCACAATCCAAAAATAAGTTAATCCAACATGTGCACCCTATAACTGCGCACCATCAGCTACATGAGCAAAGCATTGGCTGTTGAGTGCGTGTAGTGTCTAACATTACACTACTTTTTAATGGTTGAATGAATGCATCTTGGGCGACGCAGTGGGTAGCACGTTCGCCTCACAGCAAGAAGGTCGCTGGTTCAATCCTCGGCTCAGTTGGCGTTTCTGTGTGGAGTTTGCATGTTCTCCCTGCCTTCGCGTGGGTTTTCTCCGGGTGCTCCGGTTTCCCCCACAGTCTAAAGACATGCGGTACAGGTGAATTGGGTAGGCTAAATTGTCCGTAGTGTGTGTGTATATGTGTGGATGTTTCCCAGAGATGGGTTGTGGCTGGAAGGGTAAAAACTTGCTGGATAAGTTGGCGGTTCATTCCGCTGTGGCAACCCCAGATTAATACAGGGACTAAGCCGACAATAAATTGAATGAATGAATGCATCATCCGGGTAATTAAAGTGCTCTTATTATTTTGAGTTGTCAGTGTGAACGCACTACTTACACTATTTATATTACAAAATGGCGTTGAGTAGTGCATAAGTATGCGATTTGGAACGCGCTTTAGGTCTGTCTGAGGTATTGGGCGGGGCTAACATAACCACACCCCTCCAACTGTCAGTTTTGACTTCAAACAGAAATGGAGAAGAGGAGGAGGAGTCTGTTAGGTTTTAGTAAAGCTGCGGTCACACTAGAGTTTGTGTGTGTGAAATTCTGTCGTGCGGAGCTGCGAAAAGGGGCGGGATTAAACAAGCTTATTAGACAATAAAAAAGCAAGCGATTGCTCCATGTTTTAAATTTCTGTCCAGAGAGGTCATGTTTTGATCCTCGATTGGTCTCACCCAGTCAAGTGATGCGATTTCACAGGTCAGAGTTCACTAAGCTTGAACTTTGCACCGCAGCAACCTGCAAAATTTGACGCATGACCCTGCGTTTCCAGTCTGACGCATTCGCGAGCGTATGAATGGAAGTCTATGGGAGGAAAAGCCCAGTGTGACCCCAGCTTTACTCTGTTAATGCGGGCTTTTTATCATGTTTTCATCTTTGACCTGGTAATGAATACTATTGCTCGAACTCAACGTGTGTCTTCCTCTGTTAGGTTAAGAGCAGGAACCAGGGCTCAGTTCTCAAATCCATTGTTGATGTGTTGAAGATGCAGAGTCCTGAGAAGAGAGGAGACGTCAGCAATATGACCTGTGAAAGATACCAAGACTGGCGGGTGAGAAATACTCCCTTAGACTCTAGGATTTCTGTCAAGAATATTATCCAAATCGATACTTATCCTCTCATACAAAAGACTTGGAGATTGTTGTGCAAATCTTAAATAGATCAAGAATTTCTGTGATGTCAAAACACCCTTCAGATTATTTTAAAATCTTGTAAACAGTCAATGCTCCCCAGTGTCTGACATGCCTCAACGCTTTTCGTTTGATGCGCTTGAGCTCAGCCACTCTCACTGACAGAGCTGTGAGAACAACACTATTGGCCACTTTTTTAAAAGGGGGAGGAGCTACTCTGTCCTGCCCCATCTTCATGTTTCAGTTGAGATTACGCCAAACAAGATTTTAAAGCTCCTCATGAGACGTTTAAAGTAAATTTTATAAATATGAGATGAGTTAAGAACATTCAGTGTGAGGTGTGTTTCTCAGGTGTGTTCATGCTGCGCGATGAGAAGCCTTTATTTCACCTGGCACAACGTCTGCTCTGTGTGTCACAGGTGAGATCGTTTATCTCTCTGAATCTGGATGAATCTACCAGTCATTTGGTGTTTCTGATGTGTGTGTTTTCGCAGGGTTGTGTGTCCTGGCTGTTGTGTAGAGGTAAGCCTGCTCTGAACGTTTACTTGTTTCATCACTGGCTATGTTTCCATCCAAAGATGCAAATTACTTTTATGCGTAAAACTTGAATAACGCGTAAAATATAATGATTAATGCAGCGTTTTCAACAAGAAACGAAATTCGATGAGGTAGGAGAAGCTGCGCAAGTCCTTTTTCTTGTATAATAAATAACTTTCACCTCAGTCAGTGGGTCGGTGGAGTCTTAAAGTATTAAAAATTGATAAATCAGTGTAGAGAAATTTAAGGCCCTCAAAGTATTACAAAAATTGTAAATGTTATTTTGCAAGGTATTACATTTTGTGTAATTGTTGATTGTGCAATGTATAGTTGCTAAAGTTTGTCTGAATTAAATCTGCGAATATCAGGATGCTGTGTAGTTTACGAAATCCTGCTAGATTTGACATCACGCTGTTTGTTTACTGCAGTAAGGCAACACCATTATTTCTGCAGTTCAATATGCGCCACCTGCTGCATTATCTAGATTTAATAGATTTGTATTCAGTTTATGAATAACGTTTTAGTTTTGGATTAATTTCTTACATATATATTCAATTAACGAAGTTAGAATCATTTCAGCCTCGACTTACGGGATGCATAATAATCTACGGTTCATGACCGAAGAGACCGACCAGGCTGATGCTCAATCAACATGTCTGACAGATAAGGTGCAAGGCCATTTAGAGATTTAAAAACCAACTCTGAAATTCTTCTCTTGAAGTTTAATTCGGTGTGGGTTAATTTTTACTGCTGAAAGTCCAAACACTGAAGAGCAAATCCATTGATGCGCAGCTCCACAAGTCCTAAACCAAGCAAGACTGTGGTGACAGTTGTGAGGAACAAACTTCTCCAATGACCAAAGTTAAGGTAAAAACCACGAGAGAAACCAGGCTCAGTTAGCACAACCTTTTCCCCTATGGCCAAACTACTTGTGCAGAGCTGCAGTCTAGACGCCGGAGACCAGAGAATGTTGGACGTCCATCATTGCAAAGCTGATGAGTCCTCCATGATGAATTTATGCACATCTTGGCGTTTCCATCTAGGTTTTTTATGTGATATTCCAAATTGTGCATGAAAACAGGTGGATGGAAATCTAGCTACTGATGTCTGTGGTTCAACAATGTGTGTTGTGTGTGTGTGGCAGATGCGTCTGCCGTCCCAGCGCTGTGTGAACCTTCCACTCAGCTTCTTCAAGCAGATCGTGATGAAAGACTGTGAGCAGAGCCAGAGGAACTTCTGGAGTGAGCGCTGGTCCTGGAATTCAGCCTGGTGAGTAACTCGAAGGCTAAGAATACACAAGACGTGTCACTCGTATAGTTTTGAATGGGGGGAAAAGTGTAACGATCAATATGGTGAATGTAAAGGAGCCAATCATTGATCACTATAGGTTGGGGATTCTCTGGGGGAGGGGCTCGGAGCAGATGTGAGTTTCTGCAGATTTTGTGCGATTCGAACATTTCAAACTGAAACTAAAGAGACTGCTGTTGTTTAATGTTAATATTATGAATCTCCAATCAAATTTTCTTAAACTTAGCAAGCAATTTTGGAGTTTTTGATGTTTCCCTATTCAGACAGAATGCCCGAGCATATTGCCAGAGAAGCAGTCTTACATTTAGTGACGTTTGCTAACGTTTGTTCGATGTACATTTAGTGACGTTTACTATTGTTTGTTCAATGTACATTTTGTGACGTTTGTTCGATGTACATTTGGTGACGTTTGTTTGATGTACATTTAGTGAAGTATATTAACGTTTGATCAATGTTCGTCCGATGTACATTTAGTGACATTTGCTAATGTTTGTTCGATTGTACATTTTAGTGACGATTGATCGACATACATTTAGTGACGTTTGCTAACGTAGGTTCGATGTACATTGACGTTTACTTGTGTTTGTTCGATGTACATTTGCTTTGTACATTTAGTGACGTTTGTTCGATGTACATTTATTGACGTTTATTTGATGTACATTTAGTGACGTTTGATGTACATTCAGTGACATTTACTAACGTTTGTTTGATGTACATTGTGACATTTGCTATCGTTTGTTCGATGCACATTTAGTGATGTTTGTTCGATGTACATTTATTGACGTTTATTTGATGTACATTTAGTGACGTTTGATGTACATTCAGTGACATTTACTAACGTTTGTTTGATGTACATTGTGACATTTGCTATCGTTTGTTCGATGCACATTTAGTGATGTTTGTTCGATGTACATTTATTGACGTTTATTTGATGTACATTTAGTGACGTTTGATGTACATTCAGTGACATTTACTAACGTTTGTTTGATGTACATTGTGACATTTGCTAACGTTTGTTCGATGCACATTTAGTGATGTTTGTTCAATTGTACATTTTAGTGACGATTGTTCGACGTACATTTAGTGACGTTTACTAACGTTTGTTCGATGTACATTTAGTGACGTTTGTTTAGTGACATTTGCTGACGTTTGTTTGATTTTTGTGATGTTTGTTTGACATGCATTTTAGTGATGTGCTGATCAGTGCTGAAAAAAGTACTGAAGAATCATACCTGAGTTAAAGTACCATTACTTGCCTAAAAATGTAGTGCAGGTAGAGTAAAAGTGTCTGTTGTTGTAAATATTACCTAAAGTAGGATTAAAAAGCTTTCAAAAGTAGTTGAGTAGTGAGTATCACACTGTAAAAGCTGATGCATTTACATGTAATTTTTGGATGTGTGTAATCGTAACATTCTATAGTGCGTTTAGTTATTGCCCAGCAGGCACACAGCGTCATAAGACAGCATTTCAGGCCAACGTTACTTTGATATCCATTAATGACATCAAATAACATTGATATTTGGTTGATTTTAGGTTGTAAGAAAGTGATCAAAATCCAACATCTTAAACCAACATTATATTGACTTCAAATACTGACATTTATTCGTCAGGTATAGCAATCGAAATCCACCATCTGATATACGTGATAGTGATAACGTCCACACAACATCAAGCTGTAACATCATTAGACGTTGATATTTTGTTGGTTTTAGGTTGTGTTGGAAAATGACCAAAATCCAGTCTTAGGCCAACATCTTAAACCAACATCATATTGATGTCAGGTACTGACATTTATTTGTCAGGTATGGCAACCAAAATCCACCATCTGATAGACACGATATCATTCATTAATTTTCTTGTCGGTTTAGTTCCTTTATTAATCCGGGGTCGCCACAGTGGAATGAACCGCCAACTTATCCTGCAAGTTGTTACACAGCGGATGCTCTTCCAGCCGCAACCCATCTCTGGGAAACATTCACATACACTTATACACTAGGGAACAATTTAGCCTACCCAATTGGACTGGAGGAAACCGGATCACCCGGAGGAAACCTACGCGAAGGCAGGGAGAACATGCAAACTCCACACAGAAACGCCAACTGAGCCGAGGTTCGAACCAGCGACCTTCTTGTTGTGAGGCGACAGCACTACCTACTGCGCCACTGCCTCGCCATCCACACGATGTCAAGCTGTAACATCATTAGACATTGATATTTGGTTGGTTTTAGATTGGATGTTGGCCTGGTGTTGAGTTCTGACTCTAAACCGATTTTCATTTCCAATCAAAATGCAACGTCCCCATGACATTGAGGTACAACATCAATCTGACATCATGTTGACATCTTCTGCCTGCTGGGTGTTTAAGTCCTCATACAGTAAACATCTGTCATCTTCTCAGCAGTGACATGCATCTAAACAGTCTTTCTGTCAATACGTGTAAAGATTTGGGCATCTAACTTTGACAATTTGCTGCAATAATAAATCGGCAATGACTTGAGGTAGTTCATTATGATGTGATTTTACCTTCTATGTTTGATTTTGATTGGACTGGAATCGCAGGACTGATCTTTCTAATCCCCATAGACAAGAAAAAATAGTGGCTGCGGGTTGAAGGAAAGTAGTGGAGTAAAGGTACCGAGACAGCACTAAAAATGTACTCAAGTGAGAGTAAAAGTACACATTTTATAAAACTACTTAGTAAATTACACATCCTGAGGAAAACCGACTTGATTACAGTGATTTGAGTATGCCATTATTTACTTTACACCACTGATGCGGATGTTTGCTTGATGTACATTTAGTGATGTGAGGTGTGGTTATGTGCAGGATTCCTCTGGTTCTGGTGTCCGGCAGCTCGAGCTCCTCATCGCTCCACACTCTGGCCATGCGGGATTGGTACAGACAGGACATCTGCGTCAGCTGCCAGACCGATTTACTGGAGGCCTGTGGCTCTGTCCTGTCCCGTTGTCCCATCAGAGACTCTCAGGAGATCTGACCCTTTCCTTTACGCTGCCCCTTAATCTCTTGCTTTATCCGTGTGTATATCTGTGCTGTTTGTGGGCTTTACTTGTTGTTGGGGTGGTTGTTCAGTGTGGCACTGTGTTCTACGATGTTGTTTTTTCTCTCACTATTTTCAAGGTATTTTTTAAAGTTTTAATTTATGAACAAATTTAAATAAATGTGCTGAACATTTTTATTAAACACTTTGCCTGAGTGCAGTGGTGAATGGCCTGCGGTGGAGTTTGAAAAGCAAGGAGTCAAGGAAGTCACTTGTGCGTAACTGAGGCCAGCTAGTAAATGCTGTGCAGGTAAACCTCACTCCTCTGACCTCTAATGCTGTGTTCACAGCAGACGCGGAACACGCGGATAAATCGTGCTATTCGCACGTAAATAGCCACATGAACATTTGAGTTTACTCGCTTCATTCGCGTGTTAAATTCACTTCAGGACAGACGCGGATTCGCGTGATGGGCAGGGCTTCTGTCTGCCCGAAGACTCTAGCTTCATAGCTAAATGGCTAACATGGAGTTTATAAAGAAAATAACAGTGTTTATGTGCTTTATGAAGACTGAAAAACAGCGTTGATACGTTTAGGGTCGTGTCTGAGTCCACTACATTCTTTCAGATGTGCATCCAGCTCTGTGAGCTCATAAACTCCTCCAGAAACTGAACCTGGATGACGGAGGCTTTCAGCTGTGCTTCTGACTGAGCCAAGCCGAGTTGCGGGGTTGTCGGTGAAGGCTGGAGGATTTCCCTCGGAATACTGACAACAGGTTCTACGTCACAATCACGCCCCCACAAGAGCAAGCTTCTGATTGGTTAACGAGGCGCGAATGTACGTTGAAGTTCAGATTTTCGAAATCGAGGGATTCGCGCAAAACGCTCAATTCGCCCCGCGCCATTTGCGCAATTCGCGTCATTCGCGCCGCGGGATGTCTATTCGCGCGTTTTCACTGACTTAACATGTAAATCACTCGCGCTCGACGCGCGTTCCGCGTCTGGTGTGAACGCAGCATTAAGGTGCTCTAGCGACAGATGTGAGAGGCCATGGCCTTTAGCCTCCTTGTTGGAGCAACCGTCTCCCATGCTGAAGGTCGCCGGTTCAGCTCGGAGTGGGTTGGGTGGCATAGAACCAGCGGAGTTACACATATTAATACATTTATACTGCTTATTCCAGTGTTTTCCCCCTCCCCTTTCCCAGCATATATCATGTAGTCCAGGGGCCTGCAGGATTTCATTTCAAGCTACGCACAAATCCAGCACCGCCCCACCCTCTTCCGATGGCTGTTATTTCAGAATTCAAACATTAACGAATGCATCAAGTAAAATAAAAACAAACATTTTTTTTATAATTTAGCAAAATTGTGCTTTTATGTTTGCGTTTTTATTATTTTATTTTTGTTAGTTTAAATATTTTGTCTTCATAATTAAAGCTATAGACAAAATCCGGTCCCACTTTATATTGTGTCCTTAACTACTATGAACTACTATGAACTTGCATCAAAAAATAAATACAATGTACTTACTGTGTTTCTAATGTATTTGTGAACACTTGTGGTGCTTTTGAGTTGGGATAGAGGTTGGGTTATGGACAGGTTTGGTGGCATGGGTAGGTTTAAGGTGTAAGGGATGCTCAACAGTGTATTTACAAATGTAATTACAAAAGTTAATTACAGATGTAACTACATACATGTATTTAATCAAGCATAAGTACACAGTAAATACATGTATTTACATAATGAGTACATTGTAATAAACTATTAATTCCTGTGTAAGAACATATCAGTTAAGGCCACTTAGTGTGACCCAAAATCCTGCTTGACATTTTAGAAAATATTTTGCGTAGCTACCTAGTATGTATTAAAAATCATTGAGAGAGAAAAAAATCACAGAAACATGTTACATGCCCCCTTAAATGTCCAAATTATATTTAACTGAATCGTACATTTTTTTTTGAAAACTTGCTCATTTTTATTTTTATAAAACATTTATCATTTTGAGTAAAACTACCGACATTTAAGAATCCATATTTATTTTATTTATTCACTAATTTGACCTGTTTATTGGTGCATATTTAGTCTATAATTTAACTTGATCAACAGTACCTTGGACAGCTACAGTGCCACTAAAGCTTTCAAACACAACCCCAATAGAGTAATGAGAGATTAGACTTTCTCCGGTGACGGCCGACATCTCAACACGCCGTAACCGTCCTTCAGGTGGTATAGCCGGCATTAAATTACAAAACAAGACGTCTGGCTTGACGGAAGTGCAGTTATTTCCTCGTTGTTCAAAGAGTCTGCAAGTTCGTGTTTCATGGATATAGTATGTAGCTATAGCATTGTGCACATCAGTAAGTTAAGCGTGTCTTTATTCGATGCACAGCAGGAAAAAAGGCTTTCAGCAGTGCATATAGCTGTTGCTTAAGTTGTCTCCCGGAGTCCTCAGTGGAGAAACAACCGTAACCAAACCGAAGTGTTCTCAAAACGAAAGCAGGCTGTAGTGTATACTGTTTAATAATCAATTTAAATTATGTCACAAATAAATAAATAAATAAAAAGCTGCATTAATTCCCGCCCTCTCATGCAGGTACACACAGTGTGTACAGCCGTACGGCTGCAGGCGCCACTGATGTAGTCTTATGTTTGGAATTCCCATAGCAAGATCTGAAGGTATTATCCGTGGTTAATTTCTAAGCGTTATATGGGTGGGTTTCTTAATATATTTCCTAAATTCTCAAAATTATACCATGTCTGTTTGTTTTTTGGTAATGGGATACTTTGTTAAAGCTGCTGTATGTGCGGCGACCCTAAAGCCTAAAAAATACCATATTTTTGCAGATATTTAAGAAACATGCTGTAAACATGATTGTTTATCTGAAAAGCAATGCTGAAGTCAGATATTCTGCTTTGAAAATGTGTTACATGCTGGAGCGGCTGCCTTTTTGTATCTTTTAACCTGTCAATGCCAGTATAGCCAATTATATTTCAGCAACCCCCTGCTGAAAAATGCAGCTTAAACCAGCCTAGGCTGGTTGGCTGGTTTTAGCTGGTAGAAAAGCCTGGTTTTAGAGGGGTTTTGGCCATTTCCAGGCTGGTTTCCAGCCATTTCTAGCCTGCAGGCTGGAAAATGACCAGCCAGATCCAGCTAAAACCAGCTTGACCAACCTGGTTTAAGCTGGATATAGCTGGTTTTGGCTGGACTCCCAGCTTGGCTAGGCTGGTCAAGCTGGTTTTAGCTGGTCATCTCCCAGCCTGACCAGCTAAGACCAGGCTGGAAATGGCTGGAAACCAGCCTGGTCGACTAGCTAAAACCAGCCAACCAGCCTAGGCTGGTTTAAGCTGGATTTTTCAGCAGGCCCGGGTTGCCTTGGTGGAAAAACGCTTATTTCATTCATTCATTCATTCATTCATTCATTCATTCATTCAGTCAGGAAGGCTCTAAGAGAAGCGTTTTTACCAGTATACAGTGTTTGCAGAAGTCAGTGAATGTGGAGGAAGTGAAGACTCATAGATTGGTTTGTTTTCCGAAGCAGGAGTTTCTCTTTTACTCAAATGTTTATCAGCAGTTCCTTCACGAGCTTCGTCCTCTCATTCTGCCAACATTCTGCATTTGAGCCCTGAGCACATGTAAACACACTTACTGGTTCAGAGTAGGTTGTTCTTGCTAATGTTCACCGCGATGTCATGAGCGAAAATGTCCGTGTGTGAACTATGTCTCCATCTTGTGGCTGGTTTTATTATAGCGCACACCCTCATACAGAGCCTAAAATTAACACTTGCTAAGTGCTAATTTGGTGCCAGAGACTAGTATGAATCAGAGTTGCTGTCCACCTTGCCTGCAACTGTTTATTTATTATAACAATGCCTGCGAGCTTGATGTAGTTTAGCATCATCAAATCACACAGACTGTGCTGTAATAAAATAAATAAACATGAAACTCTTAGCCCTCCCTACTGAAAAAACAGCTTAAACCAGCCTAGTCTGATTGGCTGGTTTGGATGGTCAACCAGGCTGGTTTAAGAGGGGTTTTGGCCACTTCCAAGCTGGTTTCCAGCCTGGTCGCAGCAGGTCAGGCTGGGAGATGACCAGCCAAAACAGCTATGTCCAGCTTAAACCAGGCTGGTCATCATTTTCTAGCCTGACCAGCTAATAAAAGTCTGGAAATGGCTGGAAACCAGCTTGGAAGTGAGCAAAACACCTTTAAAACTAGCCAATCAGCTTAGGCTGGTTTAAGCTGTTTTTTTTTTTTCAGCAGGGCTGTCACCTCACAGCAATGAAGTCACTGGTTCGAGTCCCAACCCTGCTAAAAAATCCAGCATAAACCAGCCTAGGTTGTTTGGCTGGTTTTAGCTGGTCGACCAGGCTGGTTTTAGAGGGGGTTTGGCCACTTTGGTCATGGTTTCCAGCCATTTCCAGCCTGGTCTTAGCTGGTCAGGCTGGAAAATGACCAGCTAAATCCAGCTAAAACCACCTTGACCAGCCTGGTTTAAGCTGGACATAGCTGGTTTTGGCTGGGCTCCCAGCCTGCTAGGCTGGTCAAGCTGGTCATCTTCCAGCCTAACCAGCTAAGACCAGGCTGGAAATGGCTGGAAACCAGCCTAGAAGTGGCCAAAACCCCTCTAAAACCAGGCTGGTTGACCAGCTAAAACCAGCCTCATTTTCTATTTAATTAAAGATTTAAATAGGTTGCATTTAGTGACATTAAGCTGTTTTAGCTGAATTAGCATGTTAGATTGTCATGAGCACACTTCTTGATGAACCAAAAATATCATATATACATCAATTGCATCATAAATCAATAGCAATCTGTTAAAGTTTTAAATTAAAAACTGTAGCCTATTGTCGTATAAAATAGAAGTAAGAAGGGCCTTAGTCACGGAGGGGATCAATAACCCGATGGTCACTCTGTCTGAGCTCCAGCGTTCTTCTTTGGAGAGAGGAGAACCTTACAGAAGGACAACCATCTGTGCAGCAATCCACCAATCAGGCCTGTATGGTAGTGGCCAGACGGGAGACACTCCCCGCCTGGAGTTTGCCAAAAGGCATCTGAAGAACTCTGACCATCAGAAACTAAATTCTTTAGTCTGATCAGACTTAAAATAAACTCTTTGGAGTGAATGCCAGGAGTTACGTTTGGAGAAAAGCAGGCAGCGCTCATCAGCAGGCTAATAGCATGCCTACAGTGAAGCATGGTGGTGTTGGCATCATGCTGTGGGGATGTGTTTCAGCAGCAGGAACTGGAGGACTAGTCAGGATAGAGGGAAAGATGAATGCAGCAATGTACAGAGACATCCTGAATGAAGACCTGCTTCAGAGTGCTCCTGACCTCAGACTGGGGCGACGCTTCATCTTCCAGCAGGACAATGACCTGAAGCACACCGCCAAAATATCACTGGAGAGGCTTCACAATAACTCACTAAATGTCCTTGAGTGGCCCAGCCAGAGCCCTGACCTAAATCCTATTGAGTATCTCTGTAGATATCTAAAAATGGCTGAACACCATCGCTTCCCATCTAACCTGATAGAGCTTGAGAGGTACTGCAAAGAGGAATGGGCCAAAATTCCCAAAGACAGGTGTGCCAAGCTTGTGGCGGCATATTCAGAAAGACTTGAGGCTGTAATCGCTGCCTAAGGTGCATCAAGTATTGAGCAAAGGCTGTGATACTGATGGAGCCTACATGTGATTTTTTGTACATGTGATTTTACAGCTTTTTTAATTTTCTAATTTCAAAAAAAATTTTCACATCGTCATTTTGGGGGATTGTGTGTAGAATGTTGAGGAAACAAATGAATTTAATCCATTTTGGAATGAGGCTGTAACGTGAATAAATGTGGAAAAAGTGAAGCGCTATCAATACTTTCCGATTGATTGATAATATATATATTAATATTAATATATATATTAATATATATATATATATATATATATATATATATATATATATATATATTAATATATATATATATATATATATATTAAAATATATATATATATTGAAATATATATATATATATATATATATATATATATATATATATTTATTAATATATATATATATATATATATATTAATAAACGTAACTCCTATTAATAATAAAATTATGCTATGAATATATGCTATGAATATTATCATTGAACATTTGGGGCTGGACCCCTACAAATTAACAGTAAAATATTTATATATTATTATTATTTTTTTTTTTATATATATATAATTTATAGTGTTTTGAACGAGACTTTTAAATACAAAATCAGTCATTACTAAAACAAGAATTTGTGTAATTTGCATAAAAAACTAAACCTAAGCAACATTATATAGACAGTTCACCCTTTAAAAAATGAAAATAACTCACTGTTTACTGATCCTCAAGTGGATCCAAACATTTATGATTTTCTTTCTTGTTGAACACTAAAGAAGATATTTTGAAGAATGCTGAAACCTGTAACCATTGACTTCCATTGTAAAAAAAAACAAAAGGAGGTCTGGTTTTCAGCTATCTTATAAATATATTTTCTCTCTCTCTCGCTCTCTCTCTCTCTCTCTCTCTCTCTCTCTCTCTCTGTGTGTCTGTTAAACAGAAGAAAGTCGAACATGTTGAACAAGTGAATGACAAATCTTTCATTTTTAGTCGAATTATCCCTTTAAGAATTATTCACCTACATTCTGTTTCGAAATACAAAGCCAGTACAATAGCCTACGTGATAGATAAACTTGCTAAAACTTGCTTTAGATCTTAAAGTTAGATGTGCGAAGATGAGATCAGAGAGTTTCTGTAATGTTGTGTATTATTGAGTCCAGAATGTACTCGAGTGTGTTTCTTTTACGCAAGCCGCGCATGCGCACTGTCGGTACAGTCAGACTTTGCTCGACGGCTGAAGTCTGTGATCATTTCTGTCACAGCTTTTCAAAAACCGGCTTCTTTGTCATTTCCAGTCAATATCTTCATCATCACACTCTTCATCATCAAGTCAAAGCATGAGTGGAGATCATGCACACAAACACCGCCAGGTAGCTATTTCGGACATATTACAGCATTCTGGCAGGATTAATCTCATTTACTTTATGTAAATAATAATAAAAACGCTCCGGTATTGCGCTGGACTTTACAAACGAAAAGTTAGGATGGTCCTTGCAACACAGATATATCGCTAAACACCAACTTTAAGCGCAAATATCTTCTGATAACCTGCGTGTGTGTTACTGTAATGTAACATAATATCTGTAAATGTTGTATGCATGTGTGTTTCAGGTGGAGTCCGGCTCTGTGGAGTACAGTAAGTGTTGATTTACAGTGCTATGAAGCGCTCATGACAGTTACAGTGAGATGGAGCCGAAATGGCGTCAGAGACTAAGTCCCGTCCGCCGCTCTCCCTGCCGTCTATTGTTCAAAAACAGCGCTGAAAAATCACACTTAACGCCTCGAATGCCTCACACCGAGGACACTTTTGCACAGAGAAGTAGATCGATTAGCGGAAAACGACTGTCATCGGGTCGACACCGAAGGCTAACAGGCTGATTTTGACCGCTGAAAGTGGGGAAAGGATGCGTGAGGACTTAGTCTCTGCGCCATTTTCTTTTCCCCCTGAACATTAGCAGCATATCTGCGAGAAAGACAGCAGCAGTAATAACTCATATAACAGACAAACAGCACTGCCACCCGCCAAAAAATAAGCTTTCTTACTGCAAAATCATAATACACACATGTTTGGGAAGGCTTTCTGCATTCCATGTCATTACTTTTAGATGAGAGTGACCACATGAAGAATAATTCAAGTGATTTGTAGGATACTGTAGTGAAGTATTAATCTGTTGTGGTAATTCTATAGTTGCTATTATATCACAACGACTATAGTAATATAAACTAGCTGCTACGTTTTCTATAGCTTTAGGATATACTATACTGCAATACACCAGTTTACTGCAGTAAAAACTGAAGTATACTACAGGATTTATTACAGTTCACTACAGTATAATGTTCTTTATTATAACATGGATTATTAACAGCTATAGGGTCTATTGTACTGCAATACACCACTGTTTACTGCAATAAAAAAAAAGTTTATTATAATATTACAGTTCATGATCGTTTATAATCAGGGCTTGACGTTAATTATTTTGATCACCAGCCACTGTGGCTAGTAGTTTTCCAACATTATTAGCCACACTTTTCTTGTTGGGAAAATATTTTTAATATGCTTAATGATGACTTTGACATGTTACTTGATTTAGATTTTGTGTTTTGTCCACATGCCTTCTCATTAATTTCACGTTTTGTGTGTCGTGTATGAGCAAGTGTGTGTTATATTGCAATTAGTTTTTATGTCACATGACTTTTTCAGAACTCAAAATTAAGGATTTACCTTATTTATCTCTGACCACACCAAACAATAATTATATCTTAGCCACAAATTTAAATGCAAGCAAGCTAAATATAGCTGTATACTTTACTTTTTATTTAATGAAACATTTCTTAAAAAAACAAAAAAAACAATTGGCTTTTAAAAATAATTATTGTGAAGTATCCAAAATATGCACAGTAACTTGTCCTGGCTAAAGGTCTCTCAGATCACCAGTTAGCTACACATAAATGGGGAGTTAATCTCTTATTAAAATATTATTTTAATTTGAAATTATTAACTTTTACAATATTATTTTATTGTAAAAAAAAAAGAAAAAGATAATTAAACTATATTAACAAAAATAACTGTGAGCAAAAAAAAGCAGGTGAAAAACCTAGCGTGTGTGATAATGAAAGGATGAT